CAATTCAAAAGGGGTGAAAAAGCTAAACATGACCCCCAGCGATCCACAGATACTGGGGATGGATGGCTGTGGAGCTGCGAACGAAGAATCTCCTTTCATGTCTCCTGTGGCGGCCATCGACCACGAAAATAAAGCGTGGCAAATACAAATAGAAATAAGTCAAAATGTATCCAAGGGAAACACATTCGCAGCGGAAACGGAAGTGAAAACGAAAACGGGGAAATGCGTCAGGCAAGGAATTCGCTACTATGCTATACTACTACTACTACTATATATGTACCATCTGCTGATGTTTGCTTAATGAATTGAATCTTCTATTTATATACTTCATTTTTTATTTCAACATTATTATTTTTTTTACCACACAAAAGGAAATACGCACAGACAGGCAGCGGAAAAAACAAACAAATGAAACAATTAAAATTAAATGCACCCTTGGGAGCCTGAAGCAAAAAAATTCCTTATCGAGGGAGAGAAAAGTTTACAGCAGTTGTCTCAACTTGGAAATGCTCTATGGAAGTTGGAAAGCAAAACTAAGAAATCGGAAAACGCAGAAAAAGGATTTTTAGAACATAATATTGCATACTTTTAGGCAGCACAAGAACTAAATTACAACCAAAGTTCTTAGCAACTTTGACAAATTACACGTAACAAAGTAACTCCCATGGCTGCAAAGCAAACATCTTATTTCTAATATATCATAAATTATTAAGCAATAAAGAAACTTATCTTTTTGCGCCACGAACCCAGATTTTTAATGGTCTCAAGAAATTGAAATATTATGTTTTTTATGGTTTTGGGACACAATAAAAGAACGTTTTGTGGCGATTTGTTCACCGTTTCGTTTCTTTGATACGATTTGCCTATCCCGAAAACATTTACACTGCAGAATCGAGCAATTCATCACAAGGCCATGACACAAAAGAACTTTTCTATGGCGCATTCCTAAAACCGCAAAACCAAATCATCATCAGTTTTATCAAGCAGCCCATTCATCCTCAAACTAGAAAATACAAATTCATAACCTCAAACAAAAAAAAACAAAATGCGGGAATTATTATAAAAAAATGTGTGGGGGGAAAAACAGTGGAAAAAACAGGGGAAAAAAAACGAGACAAGATTGGACAATTGCATTCGCTTTCGATGGAGATCCTGCGGTCGCACGCATAAATCTGTTGCTGTTTTTGATTTCACTCGCCGCGGATAATGAAATTAATCGTCTGTAATGGTTTATTGTGTGCGGCGATTGCGGAGTTTGTTTCTGGCCAGGCCCAAATGGCCCCGACCGAGCCAACCAACCAAAAATGACCGACGGCCAGATACAAATTCGTTTTGATATCGTTCGTTTTTCCCTTTTTTTTTTAGACTTTGCCTTTGCCATTGCCATTGCCCCAAAATATATTGAATTGCCATTGAATGTCGCGTTGCCATAAATAAGTCGATCTAATGGGGCGCGGTCCATGCAATTTTTGTGATTTACTAGAGGGGCTTTTGGTTGAAAGCAACGGTCCTGGCTTCGAGGACCCTCGTCGCCAAGTCGTATATCAATGGATTACTTTAAAATGTCGAATCGACTGTCACGCTTCTAAACTAATAACATCAGAATAATCAACATAAATCCATAAAAGAAAATCCTATTAATCCGCCCCTAGAGACATGAACATTTTTGATGTTTTCCCCAATCGAAAAGTGGGCGATGAAAGGAAGCAAAAGGAATATTCTCACAGGACACAGGCGACACGTTGAAAATCCACCGCCCCCTCACCCCCTCTATTTTTTGTCTACTGTCTGCGGCTTATAAGCTTCATTCGCTGCCACACACTTCAAATTCAAATTACTACACATTATATAATATCCTGCAGGCTCTCACCAGCACACCACACGTTCGGCCTGATGAGTGGAGGAGTTCTGCCTTCTTGGGGGGAAATGGGTGGCAGGACATGTTGGCACAATACGACATAACAACGTGGCCGTAGGGCTAGAAATGAAAGAGGGGGGAGGTAGTTCCATCCGCCTGGACCTCAGTTTTTCAACATGGCCTCACTCTTTCCGTATCGACACCTTCATTCCAACTTGGTAGTTGATTAAGAAGACATCATTTGAGTTTAAATACACATAATGTTCGAGGAAAGTACAGTGGGTGATGAAAGGAAATGTCATGTCTCCTTAAAAGAAGGAATTTTGGATAAACTTTTTAAGCAAAGTTCCAAAAAGGAGAGGTAGGAAGGAAGGTATTAAATTTTATTATGATTTTAGAACTCTAATGATTAGTATGTCATGAGCATTAAAAAGGAAGTAATGCCTTACTTTTACTGAGAAAGTGATCATTTTTGTTTCCTTTTTTCATCTCTCTAAAACCGAATGCAGAAATTTTCGAGTCCTCGCTTTTGTTTTATCCGTACAGCTTGCCATTGTGCTCTCATGAAAGTTGTAAGAAAGTAATTTTTTGTAGAGTTATTTTTGCAATAAGAGCGCCACGTAGCATAACTGGCGCACACAACTGTACTTTCACACACAATTTCAAGTTATAATCAGTGCTCATTATTATACCAGACACGTTTTCAGATTTCGCGTGATTATGCGCCGCGGCTCGGCAACATCTTCGGAGTTTTTGGGCAAACACGCAGGCGGCCAAGGAGCAAAGTCAAGGAATTAAACTTGAAAATAGCTTAAGAGATACATTCTATGTATCCAGCAGATAGACGATGGAGCATGAGCATGTTGCCTAGGTCCTGGCCAAGCTGGATTTTCTCGAGGCTCAGGCCATAATGCTTATTGTTGTCATTTGCTCAGTGCGGGCAAAGTGGGCGTGGTGCAGAATGGGTGGGTTGGTTTGGTTGGTTGGTTGGTTGGCTGGTTGGTAGACGAAAAGTTGGCGAAAAATATGCAAATTATAATGAAAAACTTGACACTTTACATGGAAAGCAACAGCAAAAACAAGTGGGGGCTTTTCCGGAATGGTTCTCGTTTCTGGGCTCTCGGTATTCTCGTTCCTCGGGCCACCAAGCCGATTCAAATCTGTGGCGGGCGATTAAGCGGGCCAAATGAAGCGCTCGCACTGCCTGCGCATTTTAATTAAGCAAGCAGCCAAATAGAAGTGGTGTCTCCTTGTTTTTACTCCGACATCGCCGGTTGTTCGTTTGTTCGGCTTGTCGCCTCCGTGCGAAAAATGGCACAAAAGACACCAACACCCACCCAAAAATTTTCGAGAACCTCGAGACACCGTATTCATCAGCACTTGAGATCCCGAATTCCCGTAGCATTTGCATAAAGTTTTGCTGCAGCTGCAGCATTGTTACGCCGGCTCTTTGATTTCACCCACAAAAGTCAACGAATGTCTTCAGAAGTTATCAGAACTCGAGGTGTCAGGCAAATTATCTGGCTTTAAATAAAGAAACTTGGATACGTCTTGATTTTAAATATGAATATGGAAATGACTGAGGAATGTTGCCGAATTTATTTACATAAATTTTTGGGTGAGGTATTAACTAGGAATATCATATTTTCTACTTTTTAGTAAGAATCTCTTGTGGTTTGAAGGCATTTTGGAGATGCGCATAAAAGTATGCTACTCAAAATAGGACATTAACATAGTAGCATCTCTTAGACGCCATTTTCAAGTTATTTTAAGTTTTATGGGCTACTTTATGTTTATTTTGCTACTTATTTCACCAAATCTGTTTGTATAAGCTGTAGCTAACCTATTAATATAAACTTTATAATGAACAAATCTCTAATACAAGCCAATTTTAACCAAAAGAATTTCATAATGTTAGCCCACTCCCCAACCAAACGCACTTACCCCAGTTTGGCCTCAGTAACAATCAACTTTAACAGCTCTTTTAACTCCAAACCTCCAAGCCCCAAAAAACTTTCTACGATTTCTTTCGCACACACTGAAAACCCACACACACATACACACACGCACATAGAGTCATAGAAATTATAGCGGAAAATTACCTTAACGAAAGGGCTTCCGCAGCAGTAGGACGCGTATAACCTTTGCGACCCAACTGTACCCGCTTGTAAGCCACTTGTAGTGTGGCATTGCCAGTCTGGGCCGAAAACAAAAGCAATTAGATGTCGCCAACTGGCTGGCTGGGATTGTGGATGAGGATGTGCCGCAGGAAGTTGAAACGAGTGGGTTAAGAGCCTGGTGGGTTAAATGTAATTGCGAATGTGTATGCGTGTGTGTGTGTGTGTTCAAACAGAGATGTAGGAAAAGTAAAAAGTTTGCCAGCGCGATTTTCTTCTTGGTGAAACTATAAATTTACAAGCCACAATCAGGGGCGCCTCCGTTATGTGCGTGGGATTTTGAGAGAGAGAGAGAGAGTGTATTAAAAAGCGTTCAGGTGAACCATGCCCCTACCCCATTTCATCTACTATCCTTTTTCCAGGACCTGACAATTTTCAGCACTTGAGCGTTTATTTCACCGACTCTCGGAGCTGCTGTTGTTGTTGTTGTTGTTCTTGCTGTTGATTTTTATTGCCATCGTTGGCGTCGTTGTTCAACGTTAGTTTTAAAAACTTTACCGCCGCCCGGAGGTCCATTGTGGGAGGTGGTTTGGCTGATTGTCGAGGGATAACATTCGGGTTGCTGTTGCTGGGGCATCTATCTCCGCTACGTTTCGTCCCCACAAATCCTGAATGGATTTTAAGTGGAATAAGTTTAATGATCGAAATTATTCAACGTGTGCTTTGTGTTTTGTGTTTTTGGCTTTTGTGCCCGGTTTTATGGCTGGCTTAAAGTGGAATCGCATGTCGCATGTTTATGACAGCCCCGAGTTTAGGGGCGTGGTAAAATAAACATATTTAGCATAGTGCTTTTAAGTGTGTCCTAAGTTTATTCAACTTCAAACCAAATAGCATATTTGCTTAAGAGATTGTGGTTTGTTGCGAAAAAGGTCGTTTGTAAGGTTAAGTTATAATTTGGTTAAAATAAGTACATAATTAGAACAAGTTACCCAGTTTTTATCCGTCAAAAATGAAAATTTCCTTCAAATTGTAATGTTACTAAATTATTTTATTATTTTTAAAAATTTAATAGCAATAAAATGATTTCTGCAAGAAATTCCCTTTTACTTAACTCAACTTTACGGCGCTTAAGAATCTCTCTTGGCTATTCAAAGGATGCCAAGTTCTCTTCCTCAAGGGATGGTGATACCTCCAAGGACAGCAACGATCTCAAACGCTTGGGCACAAGTCCACGAAATATTCGTGATCATCCCGTTGGATGTACACCTCAAACTTTAAACACAACTGCGTTCATCACTCCGGATTTTATACCCCCGTATACTTATAGAATTGTGGATGAAAAGGAGCAAATCGGTCCAACGGCAGGCAAGGAGGAAACCTACAAGAACCCTGAGTACTACAGCTATTATCGGTACTCGTACTACGACCTTAAAACCATTGTCGATACCATTAAGAAGAAACAAGCATCCAAAAAATAACACAAAAATAAAATACTTTTGAAGCAAAATACTTCTGACAAGCTACACGGAAATATATCCAGAATATACGTAATGTGATTTCATACTTGGTTATATATTAACTATTGTAGATATAGGTAGATATTTTCTGTTTACATTAATCAGTTTTAAATAAAAATTGTAAACGAATGAAATCATTAAAAGTCATATTTCGATGGCACATAGGACACTTCTGGTAAACTGCCAAGGCCACTTTGATGCAGTTGCCACAGAAGACGTGTCCAAACATTGTTGCAGTTGGCTGACGATCTAACACATACTCCAAACATATTGGGCATTTGCAGCAGTCTTTTTCCGTTTTCCCAAGAGGACTGTTAGGGCGTTTTCCCGGTGGTTTTTCTTCATCCGAGTCGGTTAAGTCTATCTTAAGGGGAAGAATCTTTGGTCGGCTATAGTTCATCGGAGACGTCGATCGCATTTTGGAGCTAAGGAAGAGAAGATATAAAGATTAAATACTTCAGAATATTGATTAAATTTTACTTTATGATAGCAGCACGAACTTTCGATGGTGAATGACGAATTTTTTTGACAGCTCAGAAAGGATTTGGGAAAGTTCAGAGACCGAGCTACCAACTCGGCCCAAATCCAAGGTAAATGGTATTTTATAAACAAATACTGTAAAATACCTTACAGGTATTCATTTTTAATACCACAAATATTTCTTGAGAGCCCTTAAAACTTCTGGTAAAGTGTAGAAACTAAGTTGGCAGGGCCTACTTCCAAGGTAAATGGTATTTAAAAAACAAGTGTTGGAAATTACTTAAAAGATATTAAAATGGAAGGAATAAAAAATGTATTCCAACGAAAACATTTTTTGGTTTTAGGTCTATGGACTAGGAAACTAATTTTCGTTCAGTGTAATAGCTCCTCCTGCTTGGCGACACTCTGCCTTATGACACTAATCGTATTAGTTGGCTGGTCGTTAGTTAGGCGGTGCTATCTGCCCCAAATGCGATTTCCGCACAATGAGCTCCTCTTCGTGTCCGTCGTGCAGTTTCCGGATTACGTGCGGCATTTTTCGTACAGGTGACATAATGATCCGGACTCGCCAGCGCCTCGCAGCCGTAATTAGAGGGGTAAGCGGGGGTAGCTCGACTTGTGTACGTCGGACAAAAGATGCTGCGTTGCCAACTAGTGAAGGTGAGTGGGTGGAGGTTCACAGGGAGGAACCTTGTAATTTAGCAAATCGGTTTAGCAAGTCATCGGGAATTGCCGAGAAGAGTGTCGTCGGGAGTCGGAGGAGCCTTCGCGACAAACACGCCTTATTAAATTTACAGACATTAGCCTCTTACTTACACTTGTAGGCGATGTCCATTAGATGTAGCAACCCAGGTGTTTCTAAGGTGTGCGGATCTCGATAAAGCTACTAAGAAAATAAAATCACAAAACTACTAAAATATTAAAAGGAAATAAAGCTGGCTGAAAGTGTAGTATGAGAGGGTAGTAGTTAAAAGTTAAAGTTGGTTTTTTGTTCGTTTTTGGGTCCATTAACTTAAAAATATCCGATAAAAATACAAATTTTCAATAAATAAAAATGCCATCTAATAGTTATAGATTCTAAAATTAGCTAATATTTAATATTAAAACTAAAATTAGGTATTCATTTGGTAAATTTTCTTGCTATTTATGACCTTTAAAGTTGATAAAATAGATAAAAGATATGAATGGATGGATATCTTAACATAGAATAAAGTTGACCTGATAGTAAGAAGTACATATATAGACTTTAAAGTTATTTCTCTCAGTGCACCTTTTAATTGAATCCCATTCTGAGATGGTGTGGGCTGATGTGTTTGTATGGGCCATTCGAGCATACCATTCCCATTCACACATCCTCCTTGGCAATTTATCAATTTTAATCGCATGCAAATTTTATGCAGGCCCGCCATAAGACCCAAGTGACATTTGCTTTCGCTAAAGCTGGGCACACAATTTCCCAAAGAAAATCGAGAATGAGAATGGTTGGAGGATGTACGGAGTATGTGTAGAAGTATGTTCAGTTTTTCGGTTAACAACTTTGGGCCATTTCGAAAGGCTTCGGGAACGGCTTCTGCTAATCACATGGCACTCTTTATGATTGCGACCTTCTCTTCCACTCCCCCTCCCCACCCCCCTTCGATCACAACCATCTTGCATAACATTTGCATTTTGGCAACATAATTTTTGCTGTTTGGCTCTGCCTAAGCCTGAAACATGACCAAATCAAAACATTTGCATAATTAATGAGTGGGAAATGTGTGGTGAGCTGTGAGAGGGGGAGGTTAATAGTTGGAATTGGCTGAAAGTTAGGGCTAACAATCTGTCATAAAAGATAAGAGAGATATAGAAATTGGTAGTAATTGGTATTTCTTTTATTTTTATTGTTGTAAATAAAGTAAAGAATTTTTGATGTAAGCAATTTGTCAAGGAATTTTATAGAAAAAGTTTGTTTATTTAGCCAAAAAATTGAATTAGGAAATGCAATTTCTGCCAGAAGCTAAAAAATGTTTAAAAAATTGTCTCTGACTTAAAAACTAGACATTAAATCATCAAAATATATGAGATTTTTTTTATAAATAATTAAGCTTTTTAAAAATTAAATTATAAAAAAATGTGGTAAGTAAATACCAATTTCTTATAGTTTTCCTGAGTGTCTTATTATCACTTTCTTAGAGCTTTTACCGCACTTTCCTTCTATAATTAAATCCAAGTTTTTCACAAACACAAATCCTTGTAAAACTCCTTCCCCCAAAAATGGTTACAAAAAGGTGAGGTGACATTTTTTCCGCATGTCTGAATGGCCTGAAAATGTATGAGTAACGCTAATTTCCGTCTTGTGATTGATATTAGCCCTTGGGCCAATGACACACGCCATCCATCATGGAAGACAATGGAATATTGAGAGGGGGAAGATGGAAAATAGGTGAAAGGAAATGCTGGGAAATGCGCTTATCATGTAACGGTTAACGGTGAATTGACTGGAAAAGTTCAAAGGTTTTCGCCTTTGATTTGATGGATGCGATGCCAAGGCGAGTGCCTAAAGTGCAGCTTAAAGCCAACGAATCGCGGCGTTATATATATATATAACTATATATATATAGGTAAATATTACCCCAGCTTTATTTTCCAATTTACAGTGGCGAGAAAAGTTTTTGGGGCACGTTTTGCGATGGCAGCTGGGGTTTGCTTAGCTGGAAAAGTTGGCCAAAAAAAAAAAACTAAAATACAAGCCAACACGTAACAAAACAAAATTGCAAATAAATTTTAATTGTTTTGAGCAATTAAAAATTAAATTTAAAAAATACAGTATACACTAGAGGCGGTGCAGTAGGGCAAGCAAACCAAACCAACAATATTCCCGCACACAAATTTCCGTGCTTATTCAATTTGGCAAAATGTTTTGGCAACTCTGGTACTACGTGAGTGTGCGAGTACTTTTGGTAGTCAGTGTCCAATAGCTGCCGCCTGCCATTGCCGTTGCCGTTGCTCCTGCTAAACAAATTAAATTAGACAACTTTTATTCATTCGTTTGACATTTTTATTTGTTTTCAAACTCATTTTCCGAGAGCAAAGGCTGTGGGCTGGACTTTTTGCACAGGATCAGGAGGATGGTTAGAGGAGCAGGACAACAGGACAGCAGGACAACAGGACAGAAGGACAGTTGAACAATTAACAACAAATACAATTTGCAGAGTTTAGTTAAAATTTTTAGCAACTGCTCCCATTTAATTGTTCCATTTTCCCCCGACGACCCGGACTCGATTGTTTGAATTTAATTAAATGCCATTTGCATAAATTCGTCATCCCGCCTCGTTTTTCGGATGTCAAAGGCAAACCAAATTATATACAATTTATGACACTTTCTTTGTTAATCGAACAAAAAGCAAAAAGAAATAACAAAGAGTATAAAAAGAGAAGGTAGGAAAAGCCAGATAACATTGCTTATCAATTGTTGATTACAATCGCAGAGCTCGGAAGTACTCAAAAAATTTATAATGTAAAGAAAAAGGGAAGAAAAAAGCTGAGGTAGTGCCTAGGTTGACTTAAATATAAAATCATTCACAGTGTTTTTATTTTCTATAAAACTAAAAAGAAACTTAAAAAGTTTAACTTTGGAAAACTTAAAACAGATATTGTAATCAGCTAAATAAAAATTATGTAACTATTAGGATTGGTTAATAATTACTTAATTTAGGAGATAAAAAGATTAAAAATAAGTTTATTATTAGCAAAAAATCATATTTTCTTTTTCTTTAATACCACTTAAATTACATATCTTTCCTGCTTCCTGACCTATTTATAAGCCCTTGAAAAATCTATAAGAATCCCATTTAAGTTTATTTTTAAAAATCATTAAAAGCTGCTCTTCAAAGTGAATGACAGCGTATTTGCCAACTTTTTTGATAAGACACAATCTCTGCCCATCGATCGTTCGTTTTGATTGCCATCGCTGCATTATCAGTTCGTCTTCCCCAGTGGCAACATCGAAGAACCTGCCACTTACCCACCTCAAATTTAAAATAGAATATTCCCAGAAACTGAACAATCTTATCGGCAATGCCACTGAAATTTCATCTCTTCTGGCTGCCGTTGCTCCTGTTCGCTTGTCATCTGCTGGCTGAGAGTTAGTATAGGTTTTCAGTTTCTGTTTTATACTATTTTAAATTGCTTGGTAAAACAGCTCCTCAGTGCTTTCACTTCACCTGGGTTGGTGCCTACGATAATCACTCGAATATCCACACTGAGACCTGTGACTCCAGAGTGGGTGACTTTAATGATATACCTTGTGAAGAGCCCTTGGTGGTGACACGTAAGTTTGGTGAATTTTAAGATTAATAAAGGAAACTCGTTGAATATAAATCCAAGAACTAAGAACTTCTTTTAAAGTTTGCCCACTCAGTAACATTTTTGGTTTGAGTTTGTATTTCAGTTTTCTGTTTTCATACCTTTTTAGGTAATACTGAAGAGGGGAAAAGAATTTGATAAAGATAATTTATTCTAGAAACATTAACATTTGTTAGGTCTAAAATAAACAATAATACAATTTATTAATGTTATATGACAACAATAAAAATGCTATCAATAAGCTTTTATGGTTACATTTTTCTTATTAAAAAACTTATCAACTTCCAACAAATAATTAGGCTTTACCCAAAAAACTTAATTACTAAGTAATAAATTTACTTTTTTATATTTCTTTACTTTTTCTATCTACTAATAACTCCATAGCCGACGATACCGTGCCAGATGTAAAGGCTCTTTGGCAGAATACCACCGAGAACCGCGAGAACTTTCTGTGCCAAATGTCGCCCGGCCGTTCATGCGTGAAATACTCCTACATATTCAAAGGCGGAAGTGAGTTGTGCCCGACCCTCTAATAAAGTACACACCACTATCTATCCAGCATATATATATAATAAACTTAATATTTTCAGTACAAAACATCACGTACATGTGCGCCAATGTGAACAGCAGCAACGGATGCTATCGACAGACCCATCCGACTGGCATGGTTGTGGAGGCATGTGTCTGCACCTCACGAGTTGGCCTGATACCCTGTAATGGCTGTACGAAATTTGCACAACGAAATAGTTTAATGGGCTTGGCACTTTGTTTGCTTGGTTTGCTTTATCAATGGCTAAATAAATATCGAATAGTTTGAACTGCAAATACGCCTTTAATGTAATGTGACATTTCCGGACTTTTGATTTTGACAAGTTTTTTGTTTGAAGAAATTTATGTCCACTCTTTGTGGGCCATGAATGTATTTTCGTTTTGAATTTTTTTTAATGTTATTTTTTTCTTTTGGGCTTTCCATGTGGCTAAATAAACTGCCATAATTTATGTGCTCGACCATTAATCAATTGCAAGTTGATGATGACGATGATGACAATGACGTTGACTGTCCGCTGGGCAATTTGCATTTCAGTATAGGAATTTTGTTAAATAAATAAACGAAATGTGGTATATAAATCAAGGCAGCGTTTTTTTTTTCGCCACAGGAATTTATTTTGATGATACTTTCTCGTTTTTTTAATGGTTCATTTAAGCTCACCTAATTTGAAAATATGAAGTGCATGCGTAATCCTCTTCAAAGATAAGCCTTGACAAAGCCTATCAAGTTGTTTTACATTAAATTTTCTATCAATAATTACTTTAAATAAATAACAAATAGCCCGGCGCAAGGGGCGGGGGAGAAGTGTTTCTAGGGGAAGTTGGTAAACAATGCAGGCGATAAACGTAAAACCAGAAACACAACTGCTGAGGGGACACACTGCGTATGAGAAATGCACAACGAACCAATGGCCAAATGGGAAATGTGGAAAGTGGGGTAGGTGGTAGATGGTAGGGGGAAGGCGGAAGGCTGTTCCGATTGGGAATGCCCAGTGGCACAACCGGGCTCAAATAAACTAATTTTAATGCCTTCCATTGTGGCCAGAGCACGCAGTGCGGCTCAATTGGGATGCGAATGGCAGCGCCAGATTGGCGCTCTGGAATGGGTTGCCATTCGGAGCTGGTCTCATCTCCCGAATTGCACAAGATATTCGCATATTTATTTATATTTTTCCAACTACAGTTCTATCTAAAATAATAGTAGTTGGTGGTAAAGACAAACTATAACTTGAAATATATTTTTTATCATTTACTTTGCTTTTCATAAATAAAGTTCTATAAAGGGTTAATATTTTTAAATAATTTCAACATTTTTTTATATTTTTATACATTATTTTATTATCTTTTTTAACATTTTTAATCCAATTTTATTCTACAAAACAAATAAAAATCTAATAAAATCAAACTAACTACTATTTTCTTGCTCACCACTGTACATTTGCCATGCAATATAAAAATCAAGAAAATAAAAGTGTAAACTTCAACAGCAATTTGTAAATTATGCCTTTATGCGTGTGTGTATTAACACTTGAATGCCAGAAATATATTTTTTATGGATTTTTTTCTTCGCAAGCTTTTTGACAATTTTCATTGAAATAAGTTGGTATAAAAATCAGTTCCACGAGCAGATTTTACTTTTTAAGAAAGAGTACAAAAACCTTTTGATATTGATTTCATGAAATTAAAAAAAAAAAAAAAAAAAAAAAAGAAACCAAATTAAATTCAGGAGAAACCGATTCTGGGAATGCCAAAAATAATGCAATTTTCGCAATAAACGAAAATGACAAAAATGCAATTGAGCTATGGAGGAATATAGCAGATATATATATATATATACCCCATATATATATATAGCATATCTGTTGGATAAAGGAGTGGCTGTATGGATAGGCACTGCCATTTGAACCCTCTCTTTCACTTTAATTTGGCAGTTTTATTTATAACTAAGCAGCCAATATAAAGCAATAATTTAAGGTGAAGAACAATACTATAAGGCCTTTAAACTAAAATGTTTGCATATATGAATAGATTTGAAGAGAGACTGAAGGGTTTTCTTCCTTTTAAGGATTGTTTATTCTTTTTTGTATCCTTAACAGAGTTGATCTAGCCAGCTTCCTTCATCTATTCGTATGTCTGTTCTTACAGCTGTGATCTGGGGATCCATAAGAGCTAGAAAGTTGGGAAACTTCATGTTGATTATAGAGAAAAGTATACAATATAAATATATAATGTATATATAAGTACTAAGCTATAAAGTAATGACATGTATTTAACTCTTCAAACCCTTAAAAATGATTACCAAAAAACTATTTTCCACAAGAAGAAGTAGGCCTTGCTAACTCTGTCTCTGAACTTATACAGAACCTTTATAAGTTTTAAAGAAAAACTTGTCATTAACGATCGAAAGTATATATTCAGAAAAAGTAAGTAAGTATATATTAGAAAAATATTTTATCTGCATTTTTTAAACTCTTCAATTCCAGGATGAGTTCGACTATCACCACATTCGTACGCTTTCGATCTAAGGTTATTTGCTATACGCGAAGCAACTTTACCAATTCAGAAGAGGAGAAACCGCCGGAAAAGCGACCTCGCAGTATTTTTGGAGAGACGGATGGCTCCTACGAATGTCCCATTTGCCTGGAGAATGTCTATGAACGCCAGCCAACTACAACAATATGTGGCCATGTCTTCTGCGGGGACTGCATCGAAACCGCTTTGACATTTCGCAAGAGATGTCCCATTTGCTATCGAACATTAAATTCCGATGAATTAACTCGTTTATATGTTTAATGTTTTATTAAAATTGTATTTACTTATTTTTTATTTGTGTTTCTAGAATTCAAAATATGTAAATACAATAATAATGTTTAAACATTAAAATATAATAAAAACATTCAAGAACTTATAGCTATGAAACGCACTGTATTATCTATGGCAAATATATATTCGATTTATGCATATATGCATTAGGCGAATCAACCGATTGCCAGCTATCCAGGGCTTATCTTCCACTGAAGTGAAGAGGAGCAGAGGCAGGCAGTGTTAAAAATAAATAAATAAACATAATTTGTGCCCGTTGCCGTTTATTGGGTGGCTGGAGGGTAGTAGAAGGACTCCTAATATTATGCCATGTTTATGCACTGTCCAAGTTGTTGCTGTTGTTGTTGTTGGCTATTTGTTTAGCATTTTGCCCAGACAGTTTTATGTACCGATAGATACGGGAGGCAGTGGCCAATGTTCCACAGTTCGATGGAACGTTAGATGGGCAATAATTTATTTGTCTGTTTTAGTTGCTTGTTTAACAAGCACTAACAAAAATCAAACTAATGATAACCAAAATGTGATAAGAGCTAAAAGGGGTAATGACTGATCGATGGTAAGAGCGTGTGGGAGAGATTGATAAGGGGATTTGCAAAAATTGATTAGTTTATGATTTGATTTGTCTGTGGATAATCCTCTGATAAATAGCCAAAGGCTGGCAAATATTTTCGTTTTAAATTTTTTGAACATTTAAACTTAAGTTTTAGTTTTGAAAGGATTTGCTAAATTTAAGGATGTTGGGTGCAACTTTTATCATGCTTTAGGAAGTAAAGAAAAAAATAACAAAAAACTTCTTTAATCATATTTAATACAAGAGTACTGGACTTTTCCCTTCGTTTCCATTCAATTCCAAGAAGCAATTCTAAAATTTGGGTTATTTTTGGTATGGACACTCATTCATATTCACCACACACGGTCAATTATTCATTGGCAATTTTTTGCAGCTGCGATTGCAATTTGCAAATGAACCGGGATTCGGGCCGCTGCCTCTGCCGCTGCCAATGCGATGTGTATTTATTTTGAGTATTTTGAGGGACAAAAACAACTGGGCAAGAACGAGCCAAGGAAACCGCAAAAACCGCAACGAATTTAGCACGATGCTTGGCCAGAAAAAGCGTTGGAGGATGCCTAGATCGACTGCATTTGAATTCAACGCCGGACGGTCAAGTCAGGCGTGACAGGTTGGGGAAGCGGTCGCGAAAAAAAAGGGGTCAAAAAGCAGGATACAGTGGCACTAAAAGCGCGAAGGCGCATACAAATATCAAGTATACGCAGCGTGGCACATGACATTTCTTTGGTTATATATGTATGTATATATACTATGTGGCATCGAATCGAAATGCAAATGAAATCCACCGCAGAGCAGGACCTGCCGTTAATTGGCAATTTATAGCAGATACCCAACCAAACTGCCACGCCTTCACCTCCCTTGCCATCGTTTCCATTTTCACGTGTTCGCTCAAGTGAAAATTATCATTTCCAGCGAAACTAAATCTCCAACACCGCCATCCACGCCCTCGCCCAAAAGGAAACAAAGCTAAAGGCAATGGTAGAAAAATGTACAGACACCCACAAAGAAAAAAAAACAGAAAATAATGAAAATAAAAATAAAAATGGCTAAAAGGAACGGAAACGAAGTGAAGAACTGAGGGAATGAAAAGCCGCACAAAAGTCGACAAAAGTTTAGACGGGGACAAACCGTCCGAGCCGACCGCAAAAGGCAACAGCCATCCCAACCTCTACCCCTTAAATCGAGCGTTGCGATATCCAAGGAATATATATAGGCGAGAAGCTGGTTAATTCATTAGGGAGAAGTAAGGATGCCCTAACGTAGATTTTTCAAAGAACTTATAAATTTCCATGTGTCACCTCAAAACATCACCTTTGTGTCAACCCCATTGTCTTTTTTATCCCGAAAGGCTCTCAAACTGCTAAAAGACAGGTCACTGAATAAATATGTCTAAAAGTATGCAACAATATTTTTAGAAACTGAAAAACCGGGGATGAGCTTTGCAAGATGATACTTTTAGATACTATTTTAGGTGATTTTAAAACTAAAGTGATTTTTGTAGTCCTTCTTATTATATTTATACTATATTCCTAAACTAAATAATTAAGTTTATATAGCCTAACCACTGTTAAGATACATCCCATTTGTTAATCCTAAAAACTGACCTGTTAACTTTTTCAAAACCTCTAAACTTAATTAGGAAAACCTTGTAATTTGCCATCAAAAATCCTTGCTTCTTCCGTCAAGCAATACACATTCAGTATTCTGTTATAACTTATCTGAACATCAACTATTCAACTTCAAGATGTCTTTTCAATGCCAGTGCAGCTCGTGCGGACCTGAACATAGTAAACCCATTCGTACAATCGACTTAACCAGTCCAGAAAAGGAAGAACCCCCAGCAAAACGCACTCGCCGTAATCTTGGAGCAATAGAGGACTATTACAAGTGCCCCGTATGCCTGGAAAGTGTGCGTCCCCGCCAGCCATGTGCAACAATATGTGGACATGTCTTCTGCGGCAACTGCATCAAAGTGGCCATGAAAAACTCCCTGAACTGTCCATTGTGCAATCGAAAATTAAGGCCTAATCAGTTACTTCGTATATATCTTTAATGTTATTCAGTTATGTTATGTTTAAATTGTTTTCAAAGTTCGTTCCTCGTTCTGTTGAGTTATATTAAATTTGATTTTTTAACACTAACAAAACGAAAAATATGTTGAAATCTCTCTAAAAAATATTAAATTTAGTTTCTTTAACTTAAGGCAGTTTTTTTCTTAAAAATTAAACACATAAGTTAATACAACCCAAGGACCCTATTCGAAAAGGGTATAAACATGAACCCAACCAGCGATTTATCGCATTTTGCTGTGGTCGGCATTAGTTACGCTGAATTTTATCACAATTGCAATTCTTTCTAGTCGAGGACACCCCCGAAACAGCAGCCGCCAAAAAGGATTTCATTTTCATTTATTTCTTGTTTTTTTTTTTTTGCGTTCCTTTCGCCGTTGGTCTGCAGCCAAACCAGGCCGATGGAAGACCGAAAACCCAAACCCAATCCCGAACCCGAACCCATCGCTGCCTTGGCAACTGTCCGAATCTCAAAATGCCCAACGCTAATTTCCACGCGATGCCTTTAAATAATCATAATTTGGGCTTTTGTGGCTGGTGTTGCCGCTACTGATGCTGTAAATGATTAACGCTGCTGGCGGATTTTAGAGGGTTAATGGTCTGGTGGAGACTCTTTAAAGTGCCCCTTCGGTCGACTTGCATATTTTCAAGCCTGATTGCTCATTAGCAAATTCATTTGGCTGCACTCCAACCCGAGGGGAAGTCCCAGAGTTATCAGTTAGAAGGCATTTAAGTATGGAAGGGGGCAGAGGGAGGGCAAATGTTAAACGCTCAAAGAAAAGTCGAACGTGTAAATTCTCTATTCAATGGTGGAGGGAAAGACCCTAACTCTTAATGATGTTAAAAATGTAAGCTGAAGATTAGGGCAGGATTTTGTGATTTTTATACGAAAAACTTACTTCTCTTTTACAGTCATTTTTTGTCTTTAATCCTATTTCAGTTTTGGGGACTTAACTTAATTGTATTAAAGGTAAGAATAGTTTGTAATTTTAGTCAAATAATTATATTTACTTAACATAAATAACAAAAAGAAGAAAATTAATAACAAACTGTGGTAATACAGTTTAGTAGAGTTTAAGGATTTATTTTACAAATCTAATAATTTTTGTAGACACCAAAGAAGTATTCTTCAAGACCAAAAATTAATCATTAGAAGCAACAAATATACCAAATATACAAAACTTTTTAAAGTGTATTCCCGAAATTGGAAAATGCAAAAATGCTTCAAAAATTATCATTTCGCAGAGCCTAATGACTTGTGCAAAATGTCGCCGTATTAAGATACTCGCACACTCTGGCCTTTTGGCTGCCGAGGGTCCTTCAAGTGGCATCCACACTTATCTGCTCATCTTCCCCCTCATCCTTCACCACCTCCTCCTACTCCTCCATCCCCGAAATCAAGGGGATTCAAGATGAGACCAAAAATGTTGGCTTAATTGTCAAAAATTCGAGCCAGGGAACTATGCGAAAGAAGGAGCCCCTCGAAGAATGGAGGGAGTGAGCCGGATAGTTGATGAGCTGAGGGATGAGCATTAACCCAGTTAACCCATTAAAGCCGTGTCATAAATTCAAAACCACAACAGGACAGCATCACCAACAAAAACAACAACAGCAGCAGCGTCGGCTTTTGCTTTGTGGCCTTTTGTGGGCCAGGCTTGGCACCGTTTTTCGACTCATTAAAGCCAACTTCACGCAATTAGGCTAATAAGCCGCCTGCCCTCGTAACTGTGTTGCAACAACAAGAAAAGGGCCAACATCAAGATGGGTAAGGGATTGAGGGCGAGGGCGGTGGCGAGGTAGGTCGCTCAAAAGCCAGACCAGTCAAGTTTATATGAAACACTTTCCTTGCTCCCATTTCCAACTTTCGCTCAATTAACTGAAGTGACATTTGATGTGTGGAGGGGTCACGCTTAAGCCATATATTTTGAAACCGTATGGAAGTAAATCCCTTTTCAAATAGCTCTTTTTTAATATAATCTTATCAAAAGTTCAATATTTTGTCCAGGGATTATACCTATAAATATACGAAAAAGGTAAAAGGCTTTAACTTTTTAGAATTAATTTTGTAAATAAAAAACAAAAATCATTGCATTTTCAAGCCATTTAATTCTGTGCAACTGGGAGACCTTCTAGAGAAGTCAATGTGAGTAAAATCTTGGTAGTTCCATGGTAAAACCATCCCCCGGAACTCCCAGCTCCACAGGAAACTCTAAACAATAAATTTGGACAAGTCATGGAACAAGACAAAAAACAGAAGTCAAATGAAACAAGAAACGTCGAACTTATCGCCACAAGTGTCCAGGAACCGGAGATCCTAACCGGCACATCACTTGCTCTCCGGACAGGCCATCTGGTATAGGAACTGCACAATGGTCCTGGTGGGTCTTCCAGTCATCCGATCTTTGAGCAGATAAGGCAGCGGCTTGTGTCGCGTCAGCATGCCAACATTCCTGATATCTATATGGGCCCAATCCGCACAGGGAACCAATTCGTGCAACACGGCGGCAGCAATGCAGCTAGAGGCAGGGCCAAGCCCCCTATTGCTGATGTCATAGGTGAGTTGAGGGGTTATAAGTTGCTTAAAGTAACGCCACAGCGGCAAACGCCACAAACGATCGCCCGTAAGTGCGCCAGCCTTTTCGAATTGCTTGGCTATGAAGTTGGAGTTGGTGAACATTCCGGCAGCAGATTCTCCTAGACCAGCACACACGCCGTAACCCACAGTGGCCACGTCAACCACCAGACGCGGCTTATAGGTGGTCTGAGCGAAGAGCAAAGGATCAGCCATGACAACGGTGCCTGCTTTGCTCACATCTACGATGCCCATAGTCTTGCCATTCAACAGGGTGACCACATCCCCCGGCTTCACTGCCATTCCGGAAGGCATATTCTCACAGAGCGGCAGTACAGCCGAGATGTTGACGGGCAGGGAAAGAGCAGCTGCAGCTCGAACGGCGGCCACACAAACCGCCGCTCCAGCCATGCATCCTCGGTACATGTGAAGGCAATTCTTTGGCCGCAGACATAAACCTCCACTGTTGTAGGTTAATCCCTTGCCCAACAACAATATGGGTCTATCCTCGGGCGCAGTGCCACAGTAGCTGACCTCCAGGACCACTGGTGGCTCACAGCTTCCCTTTGCTATCATCAGAAACGAGTTGAGATGGTTAGCTTCTATCCAATCCATAGAGCGCACCTCAACAGAAACACCGCAAGGACATAGGGCATCCACAGCGGACTGGGCGAATATCGTGGGAGTCATTTGATTAGCCGGGGAATCGCTTAATCTTCTGGCCAAGTTTTGAGATTCCGCCTTGAAAAGACCCCTCGTCCAGGCATCCACATCCGGCGAGTCATAGAGATCCAGCTTGGGTATATGAGTTCGATCCTGTTTGCGTTTATTGCTATTGTAACGCCAGATGGCCAGAGCACTGCCCTCCGCCGCCTGTTCCGGATACTCCATGGAGTCCACAAAGACCTCCGTGCAACCCTGTAGCTGCAGGGCTCGAGCTCCCACGCCGGCAGCCACGCGAGCATTCTCCATGCCCTCGTCAATGTTCTCCAAGTCATTAAAGCCGGCGCCCTCTTGACCCAGACCCACCACAGCCACAGCTCGGAATTCGGCATCCACGTTCATAAAGACCTTACCCTTGCCGAGGTCACCCTTGATGCCAGTTTCGCGCAGCAGTTCCGATACCTTACCCTGAGTTCGGTCGTCAAACTTCTCGCCGCTGGACGTCATCTTGACTTCCTTGCCATCGCCCTCCTTAGAGTAAACGCCCACAACCACACCCTTGATGACTGCCCTGCCATCGCACTTGTCCGCTATTGAAGCCAATCCTCTCAAGATTTGGAATCGATGGTTTGTTAGCAGATCACATGCCTTCCACATGCCTTGTGCTTTTCTATAGAAGCTGCGATTGCGGGTTAAGACGCTCATCATGCGAATGGTTGCCATTTCTGGGTTAGTCCGACCTTGTGGGTCCGGTCAGATTTTTAGTGGAGGAGGAGAGGGATAGTTTTTAATTTTTGATCTAGTTGTTCCTAACAATTTTGGAAAGACAGATGAAAGTGTGTTCCTCCGTTAGGCTAAAGGGTAGACTAACAAGGTAATTCCGGACACTGTTTGGAAAGCCAACTACTTTTGACATGACATTCTCTCAAAATCCCAGAAATTTAAATTGCTTAATTAAAAAAGAACTCATTTTCTGGCAAATATATAGTAAAACTTTCGACACACATGTATTTACGCCAAAAAATAAGTCATATAACCATTTACTCCTCGTCGGAGTCACGTTGATTGGAGGGCTTGAGACTACCAAAGACCTTGGCCGGAATAGCTTTTTGCTCGAAGCGCAGTTTCTTCATTACAAGGCCTTCCTCATCGGTTTTTGTGGCTGCTTCGGTGGCGCCGTTCTCATTCGACGGCTCGTTTTCTTCGTCATCCTCCTCCTCGTCCTCATCGCTGTCGCCAATGTCAATCTCATCGGGATTGACCACCGTATCCTTCTTATCCTTGGCTCCTCCTTGGGTTTCACCGCGCACAAACATAATATTGGAAGCTGCCTTTTCGGCGGGCTTTTGTTTGGCCTCGGCTGACGCTTGGCGGGCCTTCTCCTCCAACTGACGCATAGCATCCGGTCCAGCTCCTGCTCCGGCATCTGCAGCTGCTCCTTGGTTCGTGTTTAAGAACTGAGCAGCCATCATGTTCACCTGGGTATTGTAAGTGGCCTGCACAGAGCGCTTGATGCGCAGCATTTCACGCATGGTGTCCTCGTTACCGTGCCGAACCTCGAACTCCTTCCACGTTTGCCAAAAGTCAGCGGTGATGCGGGGATCACAAACCTAGGGGATACAAATTGAAATTAGTTTAAGAAAAATGGTAAAGATGCATTAACCCACCTGTGAGCAATGAGCGTAGATAGCCCTGGCGCGATCCACTTCACCTAGCTTTGTTTCCAACTCGGCGAACTTGACGCACATGTGTCGCATATTCTGTTCGGGCAACGCTTCAATGGCCTTCTCATAGATCTCCCTGGTTCGAGGCAAGCCATAGATTTCTGCCGCCTTCTTCACAAATATGTTGTACATGTCGTACATTTCCTCTTCCTTTACAGCGGACGTGGCGCGATCATAGACCGACATGGCATGCCTGGCGAGACCGTGCTCCTCCTCCAACTTGGCGTACAGTAAATAAAAGTACTTGGCGTGCTCGGGAGGACACTGATCCAGGCACTGCTCAAAGAGATCCCTTGCACGCTCCAGTTTAGTGCCACCGTAACGCTCCAAAAACTTGCTAAGGTATGAGTTCCAGATGTCATAGACATTGGGCCACTTGAACAAAGATATACCCTTTTCATATGCTCGATAGGCTTCCTCGAAGTAATTGTGCTCCTCCAGAAACATTCCATAGTTTATGATGATTTGTGGCGTGCAGATCTTGAGGTCGATAATCCTCTCGTAGACCGCCTTGCAGGTCTTGAAAGTTCCGAATGACTCCTCCAGATCAGCATACATGGACCACACTTTCAAAGAGCGATGAAGACGCGCCTGCACCGTCTCAGTGTCATCGTGATAAGCGATCTTTCGCTTCGGCATGGCCGTTGCCCTTTGCATCAGCTTAAGAGCCGCCTCGAATTGCTGCTGACGGAGCTCCATTTCTGCCCATTCGCACCACACCGCCGCCAAATCCTCGACTTTGACATATTCCACTTCAGTGCCGCGTTCGAACACCACACGGGCATCCTCCACTTGTCCATTGGCCTCGTAAAACTTGGCAAACTCCACCCATAAGGTGTGTAGCTTACCAACCGCCTGCTTCGGCTGCACTGTTTGCACGGCCTCCGTGTATGTGCTGATTATCTCGGCGGGTTTGTCCTCGTATAGCGTCACCCTTTTGTGCCACTCATGGACGTTGTGCGGATTCTGGCGCAGAAGTACACTGTTCAATAGGAGAAGTCGACGCTCCATCAGGTATTCGAAGCGCGAGAGACGCAGTTCCACGTCAATATCATCCTCCTCGGTTGCCGCTTCATTGTTAGACACCTGCTCCATGCGTTTGTTCAACGACAGTTCCTCGAACTGGGCGTACTCATCGAAGACCTGGGTGAAATCCCTAACGGTGGTCACCGTTTGAATGGCCTCCTCGTAGATGTCCCTTGCTCGATCGAATAAACCAGAACGCACGTAGTAATCCGCCAGAGAGTTCCACAGATGACCCAGTTGATCAGTATATCGTCGCAGTCCACCACGAATAATTGCGTCTACATTCAAGGAGTGGACCTTGTGCGGATTCTTTGAGATGAGGTCACAGAGCTCGTTCCACAGCTGATGATTGGACTTTCCGTGCTTGGAAACGAAGTGCTCATTGTCCACGATGTGCGCCAACTGCTGCGCAGCTTCATCAAGACGCTCCGCTTCCTGCAGGTAATCCACATACTCCTCGGTGTCCTCGGGGAAGAGTTTCAGATAACGACGGTAGACACGCAAAGCTGTTTCCGGCATCTCAAAGCTACGTACAAACTTCAGGTATAGTGGCCAAATCCTGCCGTGCTGTGTGATGGGCAGAGCTCTAAGAGCACGATCGAAAACGTGACGTGTGCGGGTCACCTTGCATTGCGCGGTCATGAAGGCACCGTAATCCATCCAGATGCGTGGCATTTTGTGCATGAAAACCAGGGCTCGTTCGAAGGCGCTGTTGACCTCCTCGTACATGGGATCCGTGGGTATCTTTCCGCGCACCTGCTTCCTGCGGGTTCTCAGATAATTGTGCCAGATCTTATAGCTACCAGGGAGTTCCTTTAGGGCACGCTCAAAGACAAGATTAACACCATTATTCGGTGCCTTGGCCTTGTGGTCTATGTAGCGCAGCCAATGTTTCACGGAGTAGGCATTTCGCAGAATTTCCTCCTCGTACGGAACATCCTCCTCTTCCTATGGGTATGTATAAGCTAAGTAAGCTTTTTATTAATGTTTAATCTGTTATACTCACGAAGTTGATGTCTATATTCAGCGATTGCGTTGGTTTTGTTACCATTTTCTGCTATTTTCACAACATAAAAAGCCGCAAACAAATTTTTCTCTCCTCATGCGCGTCTTCAGAAAACAGCTGATCGAAACAGGGTTGCCAAGGGGTTGTAAAAGTAGTGTTTTTTAACATACCAAAAATATACCAAAATATTTATGATTATTATGAGGATATATAAATTTAAAAATAAAATAAACTATAAGTAAATAAACTCTAATATTGTTAAATATTTTTATAATAAGAATCATACAGATTGTAACAATAGTTACTGTCTTTAATTTATTTTTATATATTTACTTTTCTATAAATACGTTTTTTTATAGAAGATTCCGTGAATATAGATAAAATAGAAATACAATTGGGTTGTAACTTTTAAAAACAATTATAATTTTAAAAAAAACATAAACAATCGAAATGATTTTTCTAGAATACCGCAGAAGTATTTTTTGCATCCCGTTTAAAGTGGTATTCAGTCAACCGTAGGCTTTCCAACACTGGCTCAGTTTGTGAATTTATGTCGGAAGCCCATCGTCGCTGCGGCTGATAATTTGATTTTCATACGGTTTTCGTATTCCAAAGAGTCCACTTAACGCGCTCGTAAAATCACAAAAAATCGTGTTAAACGGATCGTATCTAAAGTTTTTATAAACACATTGCAATTGGCTTGCATTTTTGCATAATTTACGCAACGAAGGCAACTGCGTGAGTGCACCAACACACATAGGCGCGCGAAAGAGAGCGCTAGAGAGAACGAGAGAGAGAGTGAGGAGCGCAGGCGAGTTGGCAGCCGAAAAAAAGCGAAAAATCAAAGTCTTTCGAAAATCCACGAAAATATATAAATAGACCAAAATGACGCGCTTGAAACATTTCTCAGCATAGAACGACTATCAATCGACAAAAGTTTAAAATAACACTTAACGACCGGGCGAAAAGGAAACAAAGTGGTAAGTTAAATAAAAGGAAATCGAGAAGAAAAAACACGTCACACGTGCATATGTGTGTGTGTGTGTGTCAGTGGGTGGGTGTCATAAATATTTTCGCACACACTTGTTCTTGCATTGATTTTTTTATAACATTTATTTGGACAGGTTTAAACTTGTGTTTCCCGCATTCCAATTGGTCCAGCTAAATCCAATTAGACTAGATCTAAAGTAAAAACTACCCTCGGGAAAATCTATTTCCCTGCTTCGAAACAGCTGTTTCTGATGGTTTTACGAAAAATTTCCATTCCCTGTTGTTGGTAAAGGGAAATTTTTCGGCATTTTAGGGCCTCCCGATTTAATGTAAACAGAAGGAAAAGCGGAAAAGCGCTTAGATTTTCATTGCCGGTTTTGGCCTACTCTCTCTTTCTCTTTTTCTCTCATATGGCTGTTGCCACCCACAAAACTGACACACTGAGCCACCCACCAACAACAACAAAAACAACTCTCTGCAGCTTTGAGCCGCATGCAGCTTTTTTTGCAGCCAGCAAGAAAGCTTTCTTTGTCTTTGGCAACTGAGTTTTACGACTTCTGCATCCAGCTTGTAAAAATCACAGTAAAAATATTGATTTATTTTAAATTTTTTTTATATAAAATTAAAGAAAAGAAAAGATCCTCTTTTAATTTAAGTTCCGCCAAGTTAGATAAAACCTAAATTAGTTAATATTTTAACTAGTAAATTTCAAGAGAATTATTGAAAAATTAACTTATATGGTGATTTTATATATCCCTCCATAAACCTGCCTTAAAGCGCCGTTTATCATCCTAATAATAGGTAAAAATAGTGCTATAATCCATATACTTTCTTAATTTTTCTCAGCTCAAAACCTTTTATACTTAATTATTAAAATAAGTTAGCTTAAACTGTCATAAAAACAGTAAGACTGCATACCCTTTATATCCCCTGGCAACCTAGTAAACTACAAAGTATATTCCAGAAAATACCCTGCCAAAGCTTCTCTTGGCCAAAAGCAGCTTTCCTGCTGCTTTTTATCGCCGCATTTATTGATTCCATTCCTCTCTTCTATTCTTATTTCTACTTGCAGCCAAAGCAACGCAACGACGCAGTTAAAAAACGCTAGTTAATAAAAGTGCATAAATATTAAAAAATTCCAATTTTTTCTTCCGCCTTAAAAAGTTCTATAAATCTGTCATCATGTCGCGTTCAAGTAGTTTGTTTTTTAATTCGTCTGCTAAGTTAGAGACTAAAAAACTTAATTGATTCGATCAAGAAAAGTAGAAAAAAAGCAGAAAAAAGAGTTAACAAAAAAAAAAGTAATCATAATCGAAACCAGTTTTGTGAAGAATCGCGAAGAGTGTTCCAGAAAGAAAAGTGCAACATCACATTCCGATACAGTATATAGTATAAATATTGGTATAGGAAGAAGGGACTTAACCCACACCCCACACACACAAATACAGAATCCACTTCGGTTAATCTCGCTTGGTTATTAAGGGTTAATCGCCTAATGGCAAGTTCGCTCAACAAGACGAGACACAGGCGCAGACTGGCTGCGATCTCGTTCCTATCGAATATCTCGTTAGATGGCACCCATCGGGACACCAAATTCGGCGCAACATTCGGCAGCAGCCTGCTCTGCAACCAGAATAAGAACCCATCCTCGCTGGGACTCGGCTCGGGGGGCTTTCATCCGCACTATCAGCAACACCACCATCAGCGTAGCCACTCGGCGACGCATCATAACCACCAGAAGCGGCACCATCCGCAGCAGCAGCAACATAATACCCAACACCAGCAGCAGCAGCGGCAACATCACCAGCAGCAGCAACATCAACAACAGCAGCAACAGCAACAACATCAGCAGCAGAATGGCTCACTATGCTCGCCGCTCCTATGCAGCGCCGATGTCCATGTGGGCATCGATGATGGCATCGGAATTGGTATCGGACTGGAGGACTGCGCCACCGGTGCCAGCGATGGGGACGGGCATTTTAGTGAAATTGAAAATATGGGTCAATACTTGATGAACGTCATGCCGGCCGCCGAACACAATTGCAGCAGCATTGTGCCGGCCGAGAGACGCAACATAAAGCGCCCGACCTCGTCGGGTCGTCAGAATCACCAGGCACCGGGCAGTGGCAATATGAGCATTAAGCTCCAACAGCAGCAGCAGCAGCAACAACAGTTGCAGCATAAGTTGCAACAGCAACAGCGGCAGGCACGAAGTTGCACCGCCGGCAGCGGAGGATCGGGTGCCGAGAGCGGCAGCGATTCGGACAGCGTGAAGATACCGCTCAAGGTGTCCAATCTGGGCAGCGGCGGTGGCGTCGCCGGTGGAGCAGGCAACAAGCTATTGCCGCTAAGGGAACGGTGAGTAATCTTTAAGTTTTTGATAATAAGAAATGACTTGTCATTGCGTTCTTTAAAGAAAATCCAGCATACGAGGTGTGTTCAAAAAGTAAGGTGACTCTTCAAATTTCGCGAATTTCAAATTTTTCGATTATCGAAACCTTTTAGAAGTTATACGAGGTGTGTTCAAAAAGTAAGGTGACTTTTCAAATTTCAAATTTTTCAAATTTTTCGATTATCTTCAGTTTTGGGAACAAGAAAAAGTCACATGGGGCCAAATCCGGTGAATATGGTGGCTGAGGCATTATTGTGGTGTTGTTTTTGGCCAAAAAATCCAAATCCTTTGATCCATATTTTTCGATAGCAAAAAATCGCCGAGCTCGCAAAATAACTTGTAACTTTACGCCTCTCACAACCAAACAAAAGAGGATGTTCCATTGAAACTTGGTACAGATGTTAGGGAAGAGTGTACCAATATAACAAAACAAAAAAATCGATAATCGAAAAATTTGAAATTCGCGAAATTTGAAGAGTCACCTTACTTTTTGAACACACCTCGTATCTATAGTGTTGCATCATCCTAGAAGAACTATCCAAAAGCCTAAAAATGGTTTACTATCAGTTTTTAGAAAACAGTTGTTAAAAAATGAAGAAGCTTAGGGATCTTTGATGTTAAAACCAAAACTTGAACTATTTCTATTACTAATTATGAAGACTAAGTTAATGGTTATTTACTGGCCTATTCTTTTATAGTTCAAATAATATAAACAAAAACTTTTCTTTACAAAGTTCAAAAAGTTCCATTAAACTAAATTACGCACCTTAAAAATGATTAATAATTAGGTGATCAATAAGGTAAAAGCTATAAACCTTGAAAAAGTTCTTACATTTCCATTGAAAAGATCAAGGAAATGTGAAAAAAAATTCCTGATCTTGAAAACGCTAAGTTTTCCTATGATTATGCACTCCTCAAGACTCATGAAAATAGATTGACAACTGACGTCAAATGAACACGTTTTTCCCCATAAATTGTTTAATATTTTCTATAAATGCGAGGGAAATTCTGTTTGCTCTTTGTTGGTATATAAAAATAAATTCTGGCTATGAAATATGAATCATAAAGCTTGATCACTGAACTTTTGTTCAATTCAATTAAGCTGTCGTCATAATTGGCATCGATTTTCCTTCTCGTTTTGTTAATTGAAATTTCCGCTTAAGTTTGCGTTTGCCAATTGACACTTGGTCTCTAATTTGCTTACAAAAGTCTCAGTTTGATCAAAATACCGTGAAAACAAAACAATGTTCGCACCCCTTGGGTGGTGTGTGAAATCGAAAAATATTTTTAAAATTCAGTTTTGTGCGAAAATTTGAATATATTAGAGAGCGAGAGAGAGAGAGAGCAATTTTCCCAGATGTCGAGGGATTTGCACGTTTTCAACGCCTGATGGTGCATAATTGGGGGGTCGGTCTGTTGCTGGTCACTTGGCGCTAAAAATATCGCCCCTCAAAAATATATCTAAATAAAGGGTGAGAAGCTTGCTTCCATTCATCGGACGTGTGCCAGCTCAATTAACGTAAATTAGAGAGCGTGCCCAACGAAAAAAAAAAAAGCTGTGCAAACAATTGTTTGAATTGAATTGCATGCCGGCGTTTAGTTTACGTTTAATTCGGAGCTTTTGTGTGTTAGAGAGGCGCGGTTTTGTCCCGGCACTTAAACGACCTGTCACCAATGAATCATAGCAATTGACTATCTAGGTAGACAGGCCAATAAACACGCAATAATTACGCAATGTCAAAAATGCGAAAGCCGCCCAATGAATCGCTCGTAAATCGCTCGCGAAACGCTCGTAATCCTCCTTGAACTTCCGCTCTCCTTCCTTACTTTTCTTTGTCTTTCTCTGCTTGGAGAAAAGAAAAAGAAGAAGAAGAAGAAGAAAAAAGCTAAAATGCATCCCAGAGCTTTCACTACCAATGCCATGAGAGACAAGTTTCGTTGAACTCGTTGACAAACTGACCTTGTTTCTTATGCAGCTTTGCAGTTGCGCCGCTCCGCTGGCGCTTCGGCATTTGCTGCTGCCTCTAGCGTTTTCGGTTTCTTTCGCGTGTTGCCGCCACTCAACTGGTGGCTAACCCGTTTTTGGTACGGCATGGGGAGGGTCTAACTTATTGTCATCTGTTCGGGGGAGGCTTGAGGATTGCATTAGGCATATGCAGTTGGCTTTTAGCCAATTGGCTTGTCAGCGACCTGTCATTGCCATTTGCTGGGGCAAATCATTTTCCCGGCTGTTTTTGGTTTTAGTTAGCTTGGTATTTATACCCGTTACTCGTAGAGTAAAAGGGTATACTAGATTCGTTGAAAAGTATGTAACAGATAGAAGGAAGCTTTTGCGACCCTATAAAGTATATATATTCTTGATCAGGATCAATAGCGAAGTCGATTGAGCCATGTCCGTCTGTCCGTCCGTCCGTCCGTCCGTCCGTCCGTCCGTCCGTCCGTCCGTCCGTCCGTATGAACGCTAAGATCTCAGGAACTATAACATATACAACGTTGAGATTAGGCATGAAGATTCTTGAGGTCCCGGGACAGCGCAAGTTTATTACAGCATCCTGCCACGCCCACTCTAACGCCCACAAATCGCAAAAAACTAAAATTGCTGAAATCTCAGGAACTATTGCAGTTAGAAAGTTGAAATTCAGAAAGTATAATCTATAGATGGCAACTCATCTTATAGTGGTACTACTATCCGGCCACACCCACCCATACGCCCACAAGGCTCAAAAGACGGTTTTCGGATTTTCTAGAAAAGCTGATATCTCGGTAACTACAAGAGATAAAGAGTTCGGATTAAGCATGTAGATTTCTATGATGCTCCAAATGCGAATTGTTTTTTTCCGATCAAGCCACGCCCACTCTAACGCCCACAAAACCCGAAAAACCAAAAATGCAAAAATCTCGAAAACTATAAAAGCTACACAATTTTGCTTAGGAACACGTATTAAGGAGATGCCTCTGCAACTTGCCACGAAGTCGCACCCAGCCACGCCCACTCTAACGCCCACAAACCGCGGAAAACTGTGGCGTCTATAATATTATTATAAGTCCCTTCGTTTGACCTTGTGTAACTTATTTCTGTTAATATCTATCGATTTACAAAAGATTTTTCAAATCGTTAACGTTATTTCGCTATTTATGAAGAAATTAAGGTTATAAGGCCTCACATGGGCAGTGACGTCACTATAAGCATACTCAACATACTTCCTCTGACAATAGGTGGCGCATTGTGAATTTCCACTAGCAAAATAATATTTTAAAATTTTGTAAAACAGTAACGGGTATCTTATAGTCGCGACATCCGACTATAGCGTTTCCTCTTGTTTACTATAAATTAGGGGTTGACATTAGTAAAAACTGATACTAATTTAAATTATTTGAATTTATTTATTTGTTTATAACAAAATTTGAGGACTTGCTTGGGGAAATCGTTTTCTTAGGCTTTTTGGGCTTAGTTAGCTAGGCGTTTACCATAAATAAAGGCTTGACATTAAAATAAATTAGATTTATTTGTTTGTAACAAAAATTGAGGATTTTTGGCTTAGCTTGGGAATTACTATAAACTGAAGGTTAAATTTAATAAATTATAGTACTCATTAAAATAAATTAAAAATATTTTTAAATGTTTTTTTTTATAATAAAAATTGCCAAATAGTAGTTTTCACTAGCCTATTAAACCAAAAGCCTCCTAAAATTTGCATCTTAAGTTTGCAGCTCTAAAGTTTGGGCTGCAGGCTAATCAATAATCAGTCAATGAATAAATTTATTTATAAGACAGTGCAAACTGAAAACAATGCAGTAATAAAAATTAACGAATTCTGCTTAAAAACTTTACAAATTCAGGTTACAATTTCTTATCAACCTCCAAAACTCCATCTTTCTGTTTACAATTTACATTTTTTCTTTATTTTTGTGCACCTTATAGTCTCACAATGACCATCTATTAATTATATATTGACATATCTACATATGACATTCAGCAGATAAGATTAGTTAGAAAAGATCTTGATATATAACCTATACTACCATATCAACAGATCTTTAACAATCAACCAAGTTTATCTGCCATGTGGAAACGATCGAGGTTTCCGAGATTACCAAATCATACGATAAGGCAGCCCATTGACGTTAAAGACAATTTTAGGGTTTCCTTAAGTCAGGTGATATAAATACTTAGTTGCAGGTTGTATTTACCCTTTGTCTTTATAAAAGCAAAGTCATTTCTGATATATGTAAGATAAAGAGAGTCCAATTAATGTGACTCACTTGGTGAATAACAAAGGGGGAATTTCCGCCATTTCATGAAGTAGAAAATTCTTCAAATATTTGTTAAAAAATTCCTTAGTTCTCCCAGCATCTCTCATTTCGCATCTCATAAAAACAAAAATATTTTCCTCTCAAGAAGAACACAAACAATTTTTCTAATTTTACCCACCAATCTAGAGTTACACTTACTATATCCGCTCCGGAATGGGTATAACAATTTGATAATTGCAGAACTTGTTGAATCGACAAATTGTTGCAAACGAAAATATTATGTTATATGAGATGGCCGCATTTTTTTTTTGGTGTGTGGGAATCTTGCCACAAAAAGCTGCGCAGGCGCAAAAAACAAATTGCGTCGCAAAAGCGAAAAACCAAAACAAACTACTTATGTCCAGTTTTTGTTTTGAAATCTGAGAGCTGCTTTGTGGAGTTTGGCTTGATGAATGGGAATGCTGAGGAGAGAGAAAAACAAAGCATAAAAAAAAAGGTAAAACTTTAACGAAAACGTAAACAATTTTTTTTTTACTTTTCAAGCTCAATTTTCACTTCCTTTTTGCAGAGATTGCGTCATGGAATTTTAATATGATTTAAGGGAGTGGTCCTTATATACTTTTTTTTGTTCATTGCTTATCCTACCAGCCGGCAAAGCTTGGCATTGAACTTGGGCGGACGGAGCTTTTTGTGCCCTCATCATCCTGGCGGCTGCCGACGCCTTGTCCAATGTCAATGTCAATGTCGAGGCTGCAAACCTGTCCAAAGCAAAAAACCCTCCCCAAAGCCCCTCTCCTTTCTTACACTCCACCAAACTGGGTAACCTTGAGGGCAGAGTTTTATGCAATCGACGACGTAATAAGAACCGGTTTCCCTTGTTTTTCTTCTTGTTTGTTTTCATTTTGTTCTGCTCGCACTACTTGTTTGCGTTTGAAGGGTTCTAATCCTTGAGGCTTGCAGAAAAAATTGTATTTCAAGGTCGCTCTTCAAAGGGGTTCCTTTATGCCGCAGGGTGGGAAAATGTGTGTCAGTGGTGTAAAAAGCTTGAAGTGCATAGCGGATGCAGTTTTCAAATGCATTCAAGTTTACGCAAACCACCCTTAAAAACTGTTTTTGTGTTGGCTTACACTAGGTAACAAGGTTTGGGGTTAAGCTTATATACATAATAATGTTGGACATTCCATTAGAAAATTAAGGAAAAAAACAAACTATTAAGAAACCCTAAAATCTATCAAAAAGTTCCCTAATTTTTTTTTCTCTCTGTGCATTTTGAAGCTCAGGAAAAACAAACAAAGACAATAACCATAAAGCTCCATTGCCACGCTTGTCGGCCAAGAAATGAACGATAAGCCAAAAGCTGACATAGACACGCCTAATCCATTTCGTAAATATATTTATTGCAATGTCTTTGTTGGCTATATTGCACATTTGTATATGTATTTAGCCGCCCACAGCAAAAACAAAGACCCCCACCAGAGATAAAGCTCCAACTTCTTATCGGCTAATAACTGCGACTTATTATATTTAAATCGACACATGTTCAAACTCCACGTCAGGCCATGTCGCATCATTATTATGTTTTATCTGTTTGTTTCGGTGGCTTTCGCTCGGCACTTTTATGACCAACACTATACTTTTTTTTTGGCAATAAAAGCAGTTAAAAGCGGATAAAATGGGTTCTCTCTCGGTTCAGTTTTTTGTTGATTTCCACTCTGGCCAAAGTTGTTTTTTTTTTTAGCCAACTGACTTTGAAGTTGAAGCAAAGTTTCGCGAAGATGTGGCAATCAGTGAGAACATTTTAATATTTTGCAATTGTTTTTATTCTAAAATATTCGTTTAATAATTGGGTTAGTTGAATGTTATATCAACATCACGGCCCATTTTCTTTGTGTTCTTTTTTATCGACAGCCTTGTAAATACTCGCATTGTTTTGCCCATTTGCTTTATGTAATTACTTTGGACTTGTGTAAACAAACAAAGCAAAAATTGAGCGTTTTTGCTCGTCCGAAATCGCTAGCGTTTTTTGGTATTCCATTTTGTTGCCACTGTTTGTTTACAGCTCAGGCTATTCTTTTGTTACGCCTTCTCTTCCTAACACGATTATTGTTATTGCTTGCTGGCGTACCGCTTTCCACTGCTTCGATTAGGTTCAGTTTGGTGTGAATGTGTGTGTTGCACCTTATCTAGAACACCATTTCGTTCCGAAATCAACTTTTGTTCGAAGGTGAGAGGAGTCTAGCCAGCCGGCTAGATTGATTATGGTAACAACAATTTGCGTCATTCTACCGAATCTCTCACCGAAACAAAGTCTCGAGTATCAATTTTTTAGTTGTTAATTAAAAGTATATATAACATGTTCATAGGTTGTTTTAGGTAAAGGGTAATAGGCAAAAAGGTTTTACAAACAATAATTATCGTTTGAAAAAAAAATGTACTAAAACTTGGTATATATTCATAACGATTTATGACTAATTTATAATTATTATTCATAATAACAAATATTCCTAAAAAAAAAAAAAAATAATATTTATCATCTCAATGTCACGCGTTTCATTAGCGACTTCCAAGCGGTTTACTAGCGATTTCCTAGCGTTTTTAGTAACTATTTTTTCGATAACTTGTACTGCCCCCAAACATGTTTTCAAGAATTAACATATATATTGTATTGTTTTAAATTGGGTTTCCCTAGCATTTCTGGTTAAAGCTTTCAGCACAAGACTTGCCTTTAAGCTGCTTATGGGCACGTGATCTGGTCAAACAGAAACTTATATAACAAACTTACTTCCATTAACATCTGTTTGCATATACCCGTTTGATAATGGCAAATGCAACAACAAGCACACACACGATGACAATAACAAAAGCTATTGCTGATAAAAGCGAAATTGACTCAGTTGATTTGATTGCCCCAAACAAACACACACAGAGAGTACTTATATCAGCGGTAGAAGAGGGGAGAGAAGGGAGCAAAAGATAGCGCAATTAAAAAATTGTATTTTCGATTTAGCTCTGGGCATGATTTATTTGCTTGCTCTTTCGTATTCAGACGTGAAAAGCATATTTAATTAAGCTTTTAGTAGCAGTTTTCGGTCAATATTTGCAAATCAAAATCAAAGAGATAGGCTCTAGACGAAAGGTATATGTATCTTGAGATGTACACAGCTGGGTGCGATAAGCTTTACATTTTCTGTTTTATTAAAATGGTTTTCTCTTAATTTTTAAACAGAGTTTTTGTTTTATAACCCGCGAACATAAGACTTGTTTTAATAACAGAAACTGTTAACCGGTCTGTTGTTTAACATTATGTTTTGTTATGAGTGTCCTAACAGTACTGTATAACTTAACATGTAAGTTTTTATGTAAAGGAAATCTGTTAAGGCGATCTTCTAATATCAGAGCTGCACTGTTACTGTTATTGTTACATAACATACAACATTTTGGGAGAAATACATTTTAGTTACTTTTCTATAAATACTCTCAAATATTTTGGAAAAAATGAAACTAGAAGTACAAAGAAATTCAAAAAATTCTCAATCATTTTTTCAATTCATCAAATCTATTGTTAGAATTTAAATATTGTTTGTTTGGCTCACAGGCGCCCAGAACTTCGTAGGCGGAGTTTCCAAAAATACATAAAACTAAAATAGAAAAACTATACAAAGGAAAACCGGACTAAAACACGCACACTTGAATAGTTATTTGAGTTGCAATGGAGGTCTATAGCTGCTATCTCGCTTCCACACGCACTTTGTCCAATCTCTTATCAACAACGCACACAAACTCATTAGCGAGTCAATAAGTTAGACGAACCAGAAACACAAAAGGCAAACGAACAAAAATAAATGTTTGCCTCGGCCCTTTTCTTCATCCAAACACATACATACATACACATATACATACAAACATACATTTTGGAGTCATCCCCCATCCTTCTTCTCATTCTGCTGCTTCTTCCTACATTTGTAAGCATGTAAAATAAAATTCCAGCTACTATTTCTGGGCGCCTGTTAAAATGCTCCAACTAATTAACGGGTTATGACAGCCTAGGCGCCACCCTTCATCATAATAATTCTGTCTAAGGGTTGGGAGGCTCGGTGAGTTGGGGAATTTCAATGGATAACGAGCTACATGCACTTCATCCAACTAATTAACGTAGAATCGTCACCTCGAGCAATTATAACGGGAGTTTGCCACTGCCCAACCACCACAAAACCACAATTTTTTTTTTTTTTGACTGAATAACCTCGACCTAGACCAATTATCCCAAGGTAATCAACCAGGCGCACAGATGCCAACAAGACGTGTCGACTTCAGTTGGCTAATTGACTTTCGTTGCGTTTGCCCTTCGACAAATGCACAAGTGTGTGAGTGTTGCTAGCGTGTGTGTGCGTATGCGAGAGTTTTCAAGTGTGAATGCCGGTCGCTCTGTTTGATTTCCAAAAATACAACAGCGATAAGAGCGGATCGCCCTTTAAACGCATAAAGGAAAATCTTTGTGCGTTCGAAAGATTGTCTCCTCGTTTCTGCGGCCCTGTGAAAATATCGATCATTGCATGAGGGGTGTGACGATGGGCTATCGCAATGGAGGAGAGCCTCATTTAGAGATGTGAGTTTTCTCGGATCTCTTTAAAAATAGCTGAATTTAGCTATTTATAAAACTAAAGTAACAACAAACAAAGCAAGAGATAAGGGAGATGTTGTTAATGCATGTATAGGTTACAGATTAGATGAGGCATTTAAACTGCCCTTAATGGGAAAGTCTATTTGTGTAGAATTTATTTATAATATTTACATTTTAAAAATTTAGTTACAGATTAAAATATTTTTTTCATAAATGCTCTTAATAATTAAATTACTTAAATATTTCAGTATTTATAAAAAACACTTAAAAACAAAAAAGTTATATATAACAATTTGATATATAAAAGAATTAAAGCTAAATACATAGTTTCTTAATTTTTCTGACTAAAAGCTGAACAGCCACCACTGAGAGTCTCTTCGCTGGCATTTGTCATTGAATTTATAAATACCAAAAAAAAAACGTATTTTTAAACACCAACAACTTGAGGCGAACCGAACCGCCTTCAAGGTCCAGCCCAACGCGTCTTTGTATCGTTTTATGCGCGTTTTTCACGCTACTTGCATTTTTGAGCGCCTGTTGCTCCTTAGATCGCTACAATTCTAACCGATCTTTAAATCTCTTTCCTTCTTCTCACTTGCAGCACCTTCAGCAATGGGGCAAGCGATCAGAGCATGCAGCCAGAGAGGAGGGCACGGTTGAATACGGCGCCGGGGATGCGTGCGGGATCCAATTCGAGCATTGCCATGGGAGGTGGTCTAAAACGCACTTATGTCTTAAGCGGATCGAGCGTCAGCCATATCACCGACGACAGCAGCACGGAGAGCCTGACTCCGGCTGGGAATTTTGCGGGCAGTTTCCGGAACAGTTTGAGTAAATCGGTCCAGATCAGCGATAGCCGGCGAGGAACCTCCGGCCAGGCATTGGGACTTGGACAGGGAAGGGATGAGCGAATGGTACTGGTGTCGCGCAAGATTCCGTTCTTTATATTCTCGTCGCTGCCCTACTACAAGGGCAAGAATGGAAGGTGAGTGAAGAATAGTTTAGAATAGTAGATTCTAACATTAGAAATCAAGAAAAGTTTGAAGTAGAACCCTAATTAAAATCCACCCCCTTTCAGAGCTGAGTTTCGCAAGGAGGATCGTCGTCGTCGTAATCCATCTACTTCACGTCCATTGAGCTCCATTAATGATGCACCCTTCGATCCGTTTGATTTGCTGGGCATACAGAAGGCCGAAAGTGGTCAGGTATGTCACTAATCTTTTATTAAATAATCATAAACTAAAAGTTAATTAATATTTTTTTATTCACAGGACATATCATATGGCCATCTGCTGATACCTTCACGTCAGTATGAAAAGGAACGCAAAAAGCATGGCAATGCCTCAGCGAATCCTTCCATCTTCGAGAACCAAATGGAGATCACAGGGACGGCGGCTCTCAAGAATCATGGCATTGCGAGGTTGGTGCCGGCTTCCAGTCTGCTACCATATTTGGATCTTCTTTCGTATCATTTTTTGTCAAACACATTGAATCAGCTCCATTATGTCATCTCCATGAACCATTCTAAACATCCATTAAGAGTCATTATGCATGGTTAGCCATACCGAACGACTACTGTAGACTAATAATCCTTTTGTCTGCGTGAAATGAAAAGAAAACCAATTTAATTGAATATATTTTTACAATTCTTAGTCCGATTTCATTAAAACGTATTTACATAATGCTTCTTTGTTACCTTCTCGAATTACTTGGTAATTGGAGACTCTGGCTTTACCTCGTGTTTGTCAACAGCTCCAAAGCTGACCTAGCAGATCTGTAAATCTGACTCATTAAGAATCGAGCGTAATATTACCCAACCAATAATTAAAAATAAACTAGAACTCAGCACATTTTCCGCTTTTATATAACTCAAAAATCGAAAGATACTTTTTCTTGCTTAATAAGCTAGAATGATCAGTTATTTTCTTTGTTTTGGTTCGGTAATAGTTGACCCAAAAAACAAAACTTGAAATCATTATATGGCATTAACTTTTGCTAATTCATTTAACGCTTTGCACTACTTCGTTTCAGCACAAAAACCATAACCAAACGTCAAGGCAAATGGTAAATTTTGAAAAAAAGCTAATATGACAACAAATTTACAGGAAACCTAGCTTTGGAATAAGCTGTAGTTAGTTCCAAAGCCTGGTTTACTGCCAAATGCTTTTAGTCCACTAACCAATTTCACCTCCCCCACGTACACACCTCCAGCCACCCACTCTCACACACATCCAACGAACAACAATGCTTCAACTAACCCAATCCCGCCTTCTCTCACGCTTTACCTTGAGATCATTTGGATATTATTGGTATTTGAAAATTATATCATTAAATTCGCAGGTGTTTCACGTATGAGAATAACAACCGGAATAGTGCAACCAGTCCGACACCGGACATGAAATTGGATATGGATATAGAGAGTGTTATCCTGGGCGGAGATTCAGCTCGTGGACAACTTGTAAGTTTATTGATCTTATGCCAGATTAATTCTTTACTAATTTTATATAATTTCTTGCAGAACCAACAATACTCGGCCAGCATCTTGGACGATCCAGAGTTGATTGCCGGAAAGCATCGCACTCTGCTGACCTTCACCTCGTACATGACCTCGGTTATCGACTATGTGCGTCCTTCGGATCTGAAGAAGGAGCTGAACGACAAATTCCGCGAGAAGTTCCCCACTATTCAGCTCACATTGAGCAAATTGAGGAGGTAAACTAGAATCCATCGATTCAAAGTTCTTCACTAATTTATTTAATTTCCCACTAACAGCATCAAGCGTGAAATGCGCAGGATTAACAAATTGGACTCGCGCATTGATCTGGTGACCATATCGCAGGCGTACGTGTACTTCGAGAAGCTCATCCTGGCCAATCTGATCAACAAGAGCAATCGCAAGCTGTGCGCCGGCGCCTGTCTGCTGCTCAGCGCTAAGATGAACGACGTGAAGGGCGATGCCCTCAAGAGTCTGATCGAGAAGACAGAGAGTGTGTTTCGGTTGAATCGGAAGGAGTTGATATCGTCAGAGTTTGCCGTTCTAGTGGCATTGGAGTTTAGTTTGCATGTGAATCGGCATGAGGTTCTGCCGCACTATCAACGGCTACTTTACGAGTCCTAGGACTGGCCCAAGCGCTGCGCTGAGAAGAGCTTCTTGGCGGCAGCGCAGGCGGTACAGCAGTTGTGTCGCAAAGGCAGTCGCAAGTAGTGGCGTTCGTACTTATAGCATACTTTCGGGTGTTGGTTTTTCAACGATCATTATAATATTGCCTAGATCTAAGGCGTAGCTACATAAGTTTTGCTAATACAGTCACAAACAAACATACAAAAAAAAATGGAAAACACACAAAAAAAATTATTTACATATACGAGTATATACCAACATACCCCTTCCCCTGGTTCTTAGACTCATAAGTGTTTATGTTTACATATATTTTCTTGGGTTTCTGTTATAGACATTTCAAAAATGAATAAACTAAAGTTAACCAAACGAACTCTACTTATGCATTTGATAAGTTAAAAGCGCTTATCAACATTTTATGGCCTCAGCTACTGTTGTTGTAATGTTAATTTTATTCAAATTTCCACCAGCCACGATCTCTGCCTGTTGCCGTTTGCTGTTGGCCGCATGACCAAAGCTAGCTAATCCGCCACGACATGCTCACAGATCCCGCGTAGTAGCCGTTTATCCCTCAACCTTAGTACAAGTCGATTGGAATCGTATCGAATCGCTTCGTTGGGGTTTGATGGCCCATCAATCAAAAATCAATAAATAACTGACGATCGATTATTTGCTAGCTCATCAGGAGCTCAGCAAGCGGCAACAGGTGGTCGGAAAAAAAAGAAAGAAAGTAAAAAAGAGTTCTCTATAAACAAATACGACCCGGGCGATAACCGAAAATTATACGGGCAACTCACACGTGCCAGTAGGGGGGATCGGTTCTGCGGGGGGCGAACGTGCCTGCACATTGCCTGTTGTTCACAGTCGTTTGTTTGTTGTTGTAGTGTCTGTTAACTCTTTTGTGATAAGCCATAATGTTTTTGTAGCTGAGTGCCATTTGGGCGTCCAGCAAATGGACGTAGGTTGCCGTTTTATGTAATGCGATTGCATCGACTTTAGCTTTTTTGCCTTATCAGCAATATTATTATTATTAATGCGGGGAGTAGGGTATTATGACTAGGCATTACTCTCTATATAAATAAAAGAATCAGTTTTTTATATTTTTAAAAATATTTATAATAGGTCTCGTCTGCTTCATGTTCTAGACAACTTATTTCACTTAATGATCTTTCTAAATTTTTAAATTTTTTTTTTTGTTTTAGTAATATTCTGTATAAATATATATTTTATAATAAGTTTTTATTAATTTATAAAGTTGTTATATTTGTTTTATAATTTTTTTAATAGTCTTAAATAAAATATTCATATTCATTCAAAATGATTCATAAAATGATCTAAGAAAATATCTTAAATCTCTACAAAATTTAATTTATCTCAAATTAAATGAATCTAAATTCCTTTTAGTCAGCATCTGAAATGTAAGTCATTAAAAATACCATTAAAAAGTAATCAGAGAATGCTAAAAATGTAATTAAAGCAAATTGTTTAGTCAGCCAAAAAGCTCATTAGTGAATTTGCCAGGTTCGCTGAGAAAGATAGAATGGCAGAGGGGTGATGACATGGACATGGGTATACCTCCTGCCGCAGAATAAAAAGCCCAGCTGCCTCGTTAGCTTGCCACATGTAGCTGCATAATGAAAGCGCTCAAAACTAATTAACGCAAAAGCCGAGGCGGAACAGTCAAGGCATCAGATACCCTCTCCCGACCCCAAAAGTCACTACACCCACCCACCCACCAAATTCACAATCTCTCTTTTGGGCCAGAGTATGCTGCTCGATGGCTCTGTTCGCCTGACATTCAAGTCTACCGCTTGTCTAGGCCACCCAGGGAAAGAGGAGAGGGGAATTGGGGGGTTATATTGTGGGCTGCTCAACCCTCCACCATGGCCAGCAAAAACAACAAAGCCAGTTTATTACTCATTAGCACGCACAGCTGTCCAACTGCGGAAGCCAGAAGCCAGCAGCTATACCAACACCAAACGGGCCAAATAAGAACGACAGAAAGTTTTTGCACCAACTTTGGTTCATTTATTAAGAACAAACGTGCACTGAGAAAAAAGTAATTAATTTATAGGAATTGGAAGCAAATCATTTTAAATAAAAATTAATGTTTTAATGTATTTTAAACAAACGATTATAAATTACCAGAAAGTATGCTGCAAAATATTTCACAAGCGCAAAGTATGAAGTGAAAAGTTAAAAAAGAATTAGGATTAATGAGGAATATAGTATTTTTGCAAGATAATAATAACTTTTTGCAATAGAATTAACCTTTTTTTTATTTACTTTTTTTTTTAATTTAAACTAATTGAAACCTTTTCATATAGAACTTTGTTATCTAAAAATTTCCACGTTTCTCTGCTTGACTGCGTTTCCCATATAAAAACTGTAATTACTTGGCCTAATTTTCTCACAGTGTCGACACACGCACACTCGTTTAATGAAACGTAACTTTTTCATTAAAGTTTCGCTTTCATTTATTAGACATGGGCCTTGGAACCCCCCCTTGGCTTAACCACTGAGCACCCCCTTGGCCATCTGGTCTCTTATCTTTTGTGGCCAGGGTTGTTAGTTAACAGTTGTTAGTTAGTTGCGTTAAGTTTGCCATCCATATCCACATCCACCGATTGGATTGGAAAGTTCTTTCTGCTTTTCCGGGAGCAACTGAACCATCCCGTCCACGTAAGGCTTCCGACGACCCCCAGAATTGAACTGAGGGACTGACTGGCTAAGCGACCAATATTGCTGCTGCTGCTGCTGCGTTTCTTTCGCCGCTGCTGGCGCTGCCGCTGCTGCTGCCGTTGCTGCTGCTGATTTTGCTGCTGCTGCTGCTCGCCTGTCGACTATCTGCGGTTTTCTGTGCGCCTGCTACTATGCGCCGAGTTAATTGGTTTGCAAACAAATTAACCAACGTGGGTGTGTACGTTTCCTAATTAGCAGCTTTTGTAATTAAATATGCCCGCAGCCATTCAGACCGAACAGAGGAATGATGGTGGGGGGGTTGGCGCGGAGGGGGCTGGCCTATTACTATACACCCGTATGTGTGTGTGTACAATGGTATAACGGTTTAAGAGACAATCAGTGGCGCCTCCAAAAGGGTCTAATGAACACGAACAATAAGAAATCCCCTTAGGCATACGCCACTGTCCAGTTTCAGGAAGGGGAAACAGCTGGAGTTGATAGGCCTAAGGGGGGGTTTCCATGGGGGTTGGCAGCACTCTGACGTCCCAAATGAAAATGCATTTTAATTAGGCGCTTTTGTTGGGTTTTTGTTTCGAGTTGTTGTTGCCGCTGCTCGGCTGCTCGGCTGCTTGCGGTTCCATTCATTAGTTGAATGGAGCCAGAGTAACTTAATAGGGTTGTCGAGCATGGCAAAAGGGACACTAATTAAAATGTAATACTTTTTATCTCTTTTAATTGTAATATAATTTAAAGTATCTTCTTTTATTTTAATTTTTCGTTATTAAATTATTAAAAAACTTTTAATTTGTTTGTTTCCAATTTTCTAAGATATATTAAAAAATGGAATCATAATATTTTTTATTAAGTAAACTTCCGAAAAACAATGACTTTTTAAATATTATCTATACAAGAAACAAATTTTCTTATATAATCTCGCAATAGTCCCTTGTGCTCAATAGTTGGTGCCGAATATTTTATCTTTTGCAAAATGGATAACTCGACAACCCTGCCGACCCCAAACGATAAGCAATCCAAATGGAACATTGAAAAAGAGTAGAAAAAAAATAAAACCTCGTCAGTGAACGAGGAGGTGGGTCCGCACGGCACAGAGTGGGACTTTTTCGAGGGGGACGGGACGTGAGAGAATGGAGGACTGGGGCTTTTTCGGGCTTAAATGGATGCATAGAGTCCACAAGTTTTGCGCTATTCATTAAAAACGCCGTTGTTGTAGTTGCTTTCGTTGTTGTTCAATTGAATTGGAGCCCGGGGATGTAGCGGTACCAGCAGCAGCAGCGGCAGCGGCAGCACGAGGAGCAAAAAAAGGGTCCAATTAAAAAGCCACAACAATTAACGAGCCAAGTGAGTTAACTTGGCATAAGTGGAATTTTAATTGGCAACACGAGAGCGAGATGGAGATGGGGATTGCCAACTCAGGCAGGAGCCGAGTGACTTGCCGAGTGCCCCGATAAGTGCCAAGTGGGAGTGGGACGGCAATGCTCGTTATGGGTCTCCATCTGCACGGCCGCCAGTCCCGGAGTAGTTAAGTAAATGAGCATTTTGTTCCACTAATGAACACTAATGAATATGCCAGAGACAGCACTTGGATTAAGCCCAACTGGTTGAGTGAGCGGGATGGGGGGAGGGTTGGGTTGCTGTTAGTGTTAGTGTGTGTGTATGTTCGGTGCCTTTTGTTGGTTCGGGGTTTTTGTGTTGTTAATTAATAAACACGAAACCCGGAGACCATTGTACACGGGTATGTGTGACTGTGTGTTCGCACAGTTTTCAAGGGGTTAAAATAAGCAATTAGTTGGATTTTCGACTAGGCGCTCAGCAAACGGGCAGACGACGATGAGGCCAGAAACATTGGAGGCCATTCTGCTCTTCCATGCCAGCCGAAATGAGAAAGTTTCAAACTGTTGCCGGCGCTGCCTCTGCTGCTGCTGCTGCTGCTGTTGCCGCTTCTTCTAAAGAGGCAGCGGCGCAGGAGTTGGCTGCAGGAGGTAGTGGCAGATAGAGCTGGGATACGGATGGAAACGGATAACGAGGAGGAGATGGCATAGGAGGAGGATAAGGCGGTGGTGGAGCAGGCCGTGGAGACCCCGGCGATGGTGACCATTCTGCAGGTAAGCCAGCCACGCATCCAGCGAGCGAAAGCAGGAGTTTGAGGAGTGGCGCAGATACACGGAGAGCAAATAAAAAATCTTTAAATATAATTTTTTGGATTTTATTGAAAAAGTTTAAGTTACTTATTTTGATGAAAGTAAAATAAATTGAGATTAGTATGCAAAATATCCACTTTTTTATATAAATATTTTTTTAACTTAGAATGCTATTGTATTTGTCATTGCATACTTTTAGGCGAGTAAAGACATCAAAATTACAAAATATAAAACCTTCTTAAATTCTTCAAGAAAACGTATAGCTTGAAAAATGTTTATATGATTTCCATAATATTTATTATTGTTTAATATTAATAGCTTTTATATATAAATATACATGTTTAGCATTATAATTTTGTATTAAATAAATTAAATAGAATAAATAAATTATAAAAAAATTAAATAAGAACATTTTCTCTCTGTGTACCTTATGTGCCGGAGCAACCTTCCGTTGTTTGCCTGTTGCAGAGCTTAATTGGCAAACCCTGATGAGACTGGCAATTAGCATGGACACGAACCCATGGCAAAATGAATGATGGCCCAAAGGCAGTCATATCTTCGTTTGGCTTAGTTGGGTAGGGTCAGGGCAGGAGAAGGCGAGTGTGTGGGAATGTCGGCCAGCTATACAAAAATAAAATATCTTAAAGATGGTAGTTGGAGGTATAATAAATATTTTTTTATGAGTTTTTCTTCGCAAATTTTAGCTGGCGAGATGTTTTTTTTAATTTATTTTAGTAACCCCTTTTCCCAGAAAGACCAGATCAGTTCCTGTCTTTGGAAAGCTAATAAATCACCTTTAAAGGCTCTAAAATATTAAATGTAAATTAATAGAAATGCTAATGAATGATACGCCTTTTAAGGTCACAAAACAGTTTTTTCTTATAAACGGACAACGATATCTCAATTATTTTGTAGTATTGCCACCACTTATCTACAGAAATAGATCGGCAAGAAACCAAAAATAAATAAACTATGAGAATGCGGCAACGTTATACATTCTAATTGTGAACCGCCTCCAGAACAACAAATCTTATTTTGCTGCCGGGTCGAATGACTATGAATCACGTTAATCTGCTCGGCGATCAAGATATACCCCTACATTTTACATAAGACACCTATGACAGCTAGGCCACCATAACTCTCCGACGAGGCTCGGAGAGCTGCTCTCTGCCATTGAGATGCCAGACACGATGACTTTATATGGCCAAGCGCCAAGCGACGCGCCATTGTCTGCCACCGATCGAAAGTGCGAACCCGCGGAGGCGGCGACCTGTAAATGCACTTAGGGAAATTTGTATAAAAATAAATCCCTTTAATAAAATTATAATATCAAAGAGAGATATGACTTCGAGATCAGGTCCTGCAACATTTCTTTAAGCTAAAAAACAGATTTAAGTGTATAAATAATAAATCTACAAATATGTTTTCCTTTTTAAAATAGAATCTAAGTTTAATGAAGTTTAATTTTTTTTTTAATTTGGTTTAAGCATTTGTTTTTAGTAATCTTCAAAAGTCAGAAGTCTCTTTAGATCGCCCTGATAGAACTAGTTGGGAATTTTAGACTTTTATTGAGAGGATCAAAATAAAATTATCATACAAAATCCTTTCCCTTAAAAATGCAACCTACTAGAAATTAGTAACACAGCAATTAAAACCATCAATTTCTTTATTTTTCCTAAATTTTTAACTCACTTGTTTTCTTGAGTGTCTGAACCCGTTTGAAGCTGTCGGAAGAAACCGCGCTTAGACTCGTGCCCCTGACGTCAGCAATTCAAAATACGCGCAAACAAATCGCGGGGGTCGAATCTCTGCGGCAAATAACAATCATTTACATGACGAGTTTTGCGCTCAAACAAGGTGAAATCATATTTTAGAATACGACCTGATCGACAGCGTCTCAATCGTGTTTGCGATCTCAGTGTGAAAAGATCAACTGCTCGAAGAAAATAAACAGAAAATTCAGAGATGCCGCTGCGCAAAAAAGAGGACTACATCCCCATTAAGTGCGAGGGCTGGAATGGAAAGTTCGAGTATCCCGATGGAGCTGTGAACAATGTATCCAAGATCCGTCGACAGAATCAGAATGTGACCAACACCAATAACTTCTATGGATTTAGCACGGAGCCGATTGTCTTGCCCACCGAATGGGATGGCACCTTTGTGAAGAGTGGCGAGACCCGTATCAAGCAGGAGCGCAATCGTTCCGATGATCAGGATTACTTTGACTATAATACTGAACCCACTGTACTTCCGCCCACCTGGAGTGGTGAATTCGTCACCGATCCCAACGATGTGCGCATCAAGCCGGAACGCAACTTCTCCGATGTCCGGGATTATGCCGAGGCAGCACGCTTCAAATTGGTCCAACACTGAGTGAGATTCGATCCAATCCTTGACGTTTCAAATCAAACTAATCCTGCAAATGTTTCGTTTGTTTTGGTTTCTCATTGTACTTGTAACCTTATGACCTAAGCGTTTGTTGTATCTTAATTTTTATCATATTTATTCGTATACTTAATAAACAATAGCAAAAAAAGCAGAAAAAAACTGTGAAATACTAGAAAGTTCCGTTGTGCAATTGCCTTGATTTGGCTTCGCGTGGGCGGTTTCGATATTCAGTGACCTTTTATGGACAATATAACGATCGGGTTTGCAAATTCAAGTCATATTCATAATATTTGTTGCGATCAACAACAATGTTGAGATTGCCTTTTATGAGGTGTACGGAAAAGCAAAGTTTAGATTACAAAGCTAATATATGTAATATATAAAATCTAATAAATCGCATGGAAATCCCTTTGGTAAACCCCATTAATCAAGAAAGTTAAATTCAAGATATATGACAACTTATTACAGAATTCTTAGGGAGTAAAAAATGTAAACCACATTTCCTTATTTAAAACCAATTTTTCGAAGTAAAATTACTTCCTGACCAGACCTAACATTACTGATAGTATTTGAGGAATGGTCTGACAGTTTTTAAATACTCTTGGGAATTCCCAATTTTCAAAAAAGCTTCCTGTTTACCCAAGTCTAAAGGTTCCTTTTAAATCAACTTGTTTAGAGCTGTTGACCAAATTAATTAGTTTTTACGCTTGTACAAATACCAAAAGCAAGATAAGAAAATATCCGAACAAATTCTTGCGAATTGTAATGCAGCCGAGCCTTATGTAAACAAAAGTTAAGTTAAAATATAAAAATAAATGAGAGCCAATAAAATATGAAGAGAGAGATTCCATTATAGGGTCGCAGCTGATATGGCTTTTGTCGGGGAAGTACGTATTGATAAGAAAGCGAGCAGTAAGCCCATATAAACGGAGGTGTCTCCAATTGTTGGGTTAACAGTCAAGATGCAAAGCTTTCTGAGTGCAGCTATCAGTGTAGCTCTTCTGAGCTTGGTGGCGGGTCAGACGTCGAACGTCTCCCAGTCCTTGGAACTTTATATACAACAGAACCAACGGCAATATGATGCTAAGATCAAACAAATGGAAGTTCAGCTGGCCAACTTTAAGATCTTGTTTAACACACGTATTGAGGCCTTAACTGTGCAAGCGGATTCGATGCAACTGAAACTGGAGGAAGCCTCTGCTCACCTGTACCCCATCACTCTGATCGATGCCTGGAGCAGGCAGTGCGTCCAAAACTATAGTGTCATCATACCCACTATCACCGCCGCCAGAGTTTCCATTACCAAGTGTGCCGAGAATCTAAATGGTGTCCTAAACTCCCCCGAAAGTACCTACAACAGCTTGAACAGTTACTATAAAAATAATTTGAAGAACAACCTGGCTCAATGTGTTAAACTTCATCCATCGGCTCAGCTGAATTACACTCTCTGTGTTACCAATGTGGTGAGTATATATGGTCTATATATTAATAAATCATATATTCAAAATTATTCTTTCCCTTATAGATTAGCGATGCCAATAAATACACGACAACCAGTCAGAATAACTTTAATAACTATCTCAAGAGTTCCGAATGTACGGCTGAGAATCGCATTAGAAGTTCTTGGCAATGCTCTTTTGGCCAGATATACTCTATTACCTCCAAGGTGGAGGTTGCCCTACGACTCGTCGATATCTGTATTCTGAACGAAGCAGTTTGTGGCAACATTAGCTGTTCTGCTGAAAAGCCAACATGTCCAAATGTGGCCAATGTTACTTTGGAAGAGATCAATCCTGGCAATTATACCATCCAGAATCCCTTCTATTTTGTGACCGAGAAAATGAACTGTGTTGAGTTCAAAATCCGGAAATAATTAACTACAGTACATCAACCATATTGAAGCCTAAGAGTGCTTGAAAATGTAAAACATTTTAAATGTCTTTAACTATTCTTCTTTCTATGTAATTTACTTTAAAATTGGCTAAAAAGTTTTCGATTCATCCGAGTTTTCCCGAAAACCAGTTTTTTCTAAATTCATCAGTAACACTTGTAACAATTTTGCTAATAAAAAAACAATATGTAATAACGTATTTCTGATTTAAAATAAATTTAAATAATGATGATATTTATTTTAATGCAATATTTACTTTCCAGAACCTAAAAATGGCTATTTTTCTGGTTTATAGAACAAAAAAGCAAGTAGAAGTTGGCAATCCCATATTAACAGCTGAATAAACATCTCGAATTTGTATGCCACAATCATTAATGAGTTTATTCCGAATTTTGATCAACACCAGATCCATTCAATATAGAGCTATAATATATGTTTAATATTTTGATCAGTTTATTCAGTTTGTTGATGAACCCAGCCAAAGAGATCCAAGCCCCAAAAGTCCCAGCGTTCCTTTCTCTTTTCTGCCCATAAGCAACTTATGTAACAGGATCCCAGAAACGTTCAGAACAACCCCACACAACCAGCCCATACAAACTCCGATGACAAACTGGCTTTTGGACCTTTTTCAGGTACCAGCACGAACCATCTCTGGAATTTAAGCCACTCAAAGGGACCGCTCTAGCATCCCAAGCCTTAGAATTGATTCCCCGAATTAGGGAATCACATAAAGGCTTTGTGTGTGGGTTTTCTTTTATAACATTTTCTATTCTCCAATTCCATTATCTCGATAGCAGATGCGTGAGAACAAAGATCGGCACAGGCTAAAAGGAAAATCGAGGATGGTGTGGAAACCCAAGCCATTGAAAGATTTTTATGACGCGGGCTGACCGTGTGAAATATTCAAGATGCTTGGGAAACCTTTGAAAATTTGTAATAGGCTGGCAGAAATATTGGTAGATGAACGAAGAAAATCTTTGGAAAATGAGCACGAGCAGGTAGTCAACACATGTCGACATCTGGGAAACTATGTGAGAAATTTGGGTATCCTTTGTTTGGCGGGAAATGTAGGATACTTCATGGGAAAATCTTTCAAAAATTATATTTTCCATCGTGTGAAAATGTTGGACAGAGTTTTCCGAACTGTAGAACAGAAAACCAGGAGATCAGAAAGAAAAGTTGGAAGCACGAGAAAAAACGGAAAATCTTCTAAGAAATACAGGTAGGACCTGTTGCATGTGAAGAAAAGAACATGCTTCTGATCCTTAATCTTCCGTAGATCGTGTGAATTTTACAAATTTGTGAAAAGCCTAGAAGAAAGACGGAATAGGCTAGCAGCATTTTCTGTAGCTATCAAAGAAGATTGTCTAAGAATTCTACCTGTCTGTGGCATGGAAAAGTGCAGCTGAAATCTTTTCAAAGAAAAGACCTCCCACATAAAAAAAGAATCTTAAAAAACGATGCCCCAAGAATTTGATCTTGCAGCTGGTGCAGCTGTGGGAAAAATAAATCTATTACCCATCCCGATCGTGTGAATTTTCCAAAAATGTTGTGCAAATGGAAAACTATTATGCCAGGCTAACAGCAAAAACTGTAGGAAAAGCAAAGAATTTTCCCTAAAAGAATCTCTACCTGTTGCTTTGGTTTGGAAAATGCAGCTGAAAATGCAGGCACGGTACACAAAGGGCACCCGTTTTCCAGGAAACCTGTTGATTGGAAAAGGGAACCTCCTCTTTTTTGTATTGTTTAAAAAACGGAACTTTAAAAAATCAAGATCTATTCAAGATCTATGCAGCCGCAGCAGCTGTGGGAAAGTTTACATCTGCCTTTTCATCTTTTTATCCTTTAAGAATTTTCCAACCGTGTGAATTTTCCAAACCAGATGTTCCCAATGTTAACATTAACACCAGGCTAACAGCATAAACAGCAGCACGAGCCTATGAGTTTTTCCAGAGAGATAGATCGATTTTATACCTGCTGAAGGGTCCTGGGAACTAGCAGATGGTCCGAGTCACACGATGATACGACATTTCCTGCAACCTGTTGCTTGGGAAAGAAAATATATGAGTTCTTAATAGAATTCCAATGCAACCGAAAAAGGTGTGGGAAAATGCATCTGTCGATCGTGTGAAAATTGCATCTTAATCAAGGGAAAACAGTTTTCATTTACCAGGCGAACATCCAAAAGAGCAAAACACTGAATAGTTTTTCCGAAGGGATGCTACCTGGTCTCTAGTCCTGGGAAAATGCATTTGGGCTTGAAGCACACGATAATACTGTCTATACAACTTGTTGCATGGGAAAATAAGGAAAAGAGATATGCATGGAAAATGTTCTAATGCACATGGGAAACCCTCCATCAATCGTGTGAAAATTACAACTCAATCGATCGAAATTGATATTTAAATACCAGGATAACAGAAGAGATAAGAAGAATAATCTGAATAGTTTTTCCTGGGAGACGATACCTGCACTTTAGTCCTGGGAAAATGCAGATGCTTTGGAGTACACGATGTCTCCTTTCTGCCGTCAGTTGCTTGGGAAAATGTGAATTGCTAATGTTGCTCAGTAGAAGCGAAAAATATCGATCGTGTGAAAATTTCGACTAATCAAGGAAAATCAATAATTAAGTATCAGGAGAACATCAAAAAGAGGAGAACACTTTACATAGTTTTCCCGAAAGAATTTTACCTGAGCCCGAGTCCTGGGAAAATTCATCTGGGTTAGAGTACACGGTAATAGGCTACAGGCAACTTGTTGCATGTGAAAAAGATTTTCATGTACATCTTCTGTCAATCGTGTGAAAATGACAACTCCATCGATCGAAATTAGTTTTTTCATAGCAGGAGAACATGAAAATGTAAAAGGCTCAATAATACTTATTTTCTGGGAAACTTAACTACTGGGAAAATGCAGATGCATAGGGGCACACGATGTCATCTTCTTACGGGTATGAGGTATGGGAAAATAGTTGAGTTCTTTAAATATTTTAACTAATCAAGAAAAATCGATAATCGAAAATCAGGCGAACATAAAAAGAATATAGATAACTATGAGAATAGTTTTTCTAAAAAATGTTGCTGGATCGATGATTTTCTTCTTACAATTTATGGCATGGTAAAATTAAAATGCATGAATTTTCTAATGACGCTAAGCCATTACAGAAAAATATCTAATATTGCTAAGTCGCTGTAAAAATTTCTATCTTGTAAAAATGTTTACTAATCAAGGAAAACCAATACTCAAGTATCAGGCAAACATCAAAAACAGTAGATCAGTTAAAATCTTTTTTTTTTCAAAACTATCTTACCTGAACTCGTGTCCTGGGAAAATACATTAGGGTAGCATACGCTTATTCTTCTAATGCAACTTGTTGCACTGGAAAATATAGGTTTTCTGCTTATATCAAATTTCCAGCTCAATCGATGCTAATTAGTAGTTATATAACAGGATAACATAAGAATGCTACACGCTTAAAATGTTTTCCCTGGGAAACTAAAGTAATGAGAAAATGTAGATGCATAGGGGCACACATTAACCCCGTCCTGCAGTTTGTCTGTGGCAGGGTAAAATGAAAGATCGCTTTTTAACTAATCAAGAAAAATCGATAGTCGTGTATCAGGCAAACATGAAAAAAGAAGTCTCTCGGAATAGGTTTTTTTCGAAAAAATGTACCCGATTCCGTAGTCCTGGAAAGAGGTATCTGAGTGCACGATATTATTCGTCTTGCAAACTGTTACTTGGGAAAATTAAAACGCCTGAATTTTCCGAATGAGCAGCTGAAAAACATGTGCTGATCGTGTAAAATTTTCAACTAATCAAGAAAAATCAATAATCATGTATCAGGCGAACATGGAAATCAGCAGAGTATTTTAAGTAGTTTTTCTACAATAATTTTACTTGAAGTTAGGATCTGGGAAAATGCAGCAGGATCGAAGTACACGGTAATTTTCCTCCTGCAACCTGTTGCTTGGGAAATTAACTCACTGCATTCCTCAACCAAATTTTCACCTAGAGGGGTTATGCATCTGCCAACCGTGTGAAAAAAACAGACTAATCAAGAAAAATACATATTCCGGAACCAGGCAAAAAGAAAACTAACAGGATACCTCAAAAAGTTATCGAAGAAAAGGATCTGCGTGGTCTCAAACCATGGGAAAATGCAGATGGCTCCGAGCACACGATAATTATCTTCCTGCAACCTGTTGCTTGAAAAATACATTCCTTAACAAAATTTTCAAGCGAGGGAAAATGCATCAGTCAGCCGTGAGAAAATAAAAGACTAATCAAGAAAAAGCAATATTCCTGCACTAGGCAAACAGAAAACTAACAGGATCCTTCAAATAGTTTTCCAAAGTATGACCTGCTTGGTTTCAAACCCTGGAAAAATGTTGAAGGCTCCGAGACCACGATAATTTTCTTCCTGCAACCTGTTGGTTAAGAAATTTCTGCATTTCAAAACAAAATTCTCACGCAAAGGGAAAATGCATCTGTAAGCCGTGTGAAAATAAAAGTTTAATCAAGGAAATCCAATATTCCTGTAACGGGCGAACAGGAAACCAAAAGGATCCTTAAAATAGTTTCCAAAGAAAGGTTATACTTGGTTTCAAGGCCTGGGAAAATGCAGATGGCTCTGAGCACACGATAATTATCTTCCTGCATACTTTTGTGTGGGAAAAATAAATGCATTTTAATGTGAGTTTTTAAGCAACTGTGGGAAAGATCTTTTCTGGATCGTGTGAGAAATACAATTCAATCAACAAAAACCAATAGTCTGGTACCAGGCGAACATCAGAAGCAGAAAGGCTCTAGAAATAGCTCTGTCAATATAATTCTACCTAACTTCGAGCCCTGTGAGAATTGAGAATTGGAAATAGCTCACTCAATGGAATACTACCCGGCTTTCGGTCCTGTGAGAATTAAGGTTCCCATTCATGGGAAAGATCTTTTCTTGATTCAATCAACAAAAACCAATAGTCTGGTACCAGGCAAACATCAGAAACAACAAGGCTCTGGAAATAGCTCACTCAGTGGAATACTACCCGGCTTTCGGTCCTGTGAGAATTAAGGTTCCCATTCATGGGAAAGATCTTTTCTTGATTCAATCAACAAAAACCAATAGTCGGGTACCAGGCAAACATCAGAAACAGCAAGGCTCTAGAAACAGCCCTCTCAATGGAATGCAGCCTGGCTTCGGAT